AAGCCCCACGTCCTACACAAAACTCTTCGTCGTTGGCTTGAGAATCTCCAGCTAGGATGAGATGGATTACAATAGCGCGCCACGGCTTTCTGCAGGTGTTAGACGTTGTAACCCAGCCTACCCCGTTCAGATCTCAGGGACAAATCAGAGTCGAGGACGCTGGTGATCTATGAGGTTGGATTGGTTCGGTGTGTCGAGTACAAACTCGCACGACAAAACCCCGACGCATACTCGATGTTTGCCTGCATAATCTGAAGCCACCAGCTCATTCGTACACCCAACGTGCAAGTTGCACAGCAGCGTGAAGAGACACCACCTACATCTATCGTACCACAGAGATACAATATTAGAGGTAATTATAAATACCTATTTTTATAGCTGCTAAAAGGAGTTGAGGGAATATTTGGTCAGGTTGGAAATTGTTCCAAAAATGTTCTAATGAAATATAGTTGGACTACTGCCCTTGAAATATTTGCTTAATGTGGTCATGAAACAACGTAAGTGTAGCTACTAAGCGTATATTAATGACAACCTCCGGCGACATTCTAGATATGACATAATATATATATATATATTTCTTGAAACCTCGAAATTAATTAGTTAGGTGTTCGTCTTCTTATTTTATAACAATTGATAATCTGGTTGCTAATTAATAAAACTTATATAAACGTAGGAAAACAGCTTACAAGGTAAGAAGCAAAGAGATAAATAATCTTAGTACTTCCATTCTTCGCCGATGCACTAAATGCAAAACTTCGCAATCATAAAAGCAGCCAAATGAATTATGGGGATATGTATTGAAAATGGCCTACCTCTCAGGCCATTTAGACAGTGAACTCAATGCTAATGTAGTATCTGGTGGGTCCCGATCTTCTCAATATCTGCGACATTGTTTTGCGAGCTGGCTTAGGCTAAGGCTAAAAGAATCAGGTAACAAACCACTCGCCGGTTCTGCTAATATCATGGTAAATTAAACAGCCACTATACGCCTTTCAGCTCTTTTCCTACCAACTGAAAACATTAAAACATACCTAGCCAGGGTGCTATAATTGCGGGATACTTGCCTCTTCTAGAACCATGCGGCCCAGATCCAATATGTTCAGGGACCTGGGGGATTTGAGAACCACCTATCTGGGATCAGGATCCTAGGAAGGTTTAATCATGGACACACCGGAGATTGCGCATCATGACGGCTCATGGGGATCCCATCTTTCTACAGTAAATACTAAATACCACGTAGTTTTACTAGTGTCCAGAGTTCACTCGGCGCCCGAGGATGTAAAAATAGTATCTAATAAATAAATAAGAACCCCCTACAAAGGGGCCTCAGTAATGGAGGTTTACAAATAATAGAATAGAGTCGTGCTCTTACCCATTCTTGCGGCACTTTAGCACTTATTAGTAGTAATAATAAAAACCGCTACCCTATCCGTAGAACTGGGCTCTACCGAGCGTGATATCCACATCCCTTGCTAAAAGCTCATAGCGCAAGTACCCAATTAGCTATCTTTACTTAACAATCAAGAGACTCGAATCTAGCACATGGCGGGCATTCTTACTCTACTACACAGGCTAGTGATAAGCGCTAACCAGAACACCTCTAACCCTACTCAAAGAATGGCTTTGTCTCCTTTTCATTTATTCCCACAAGCTACCTAGCCATGAGCGTAGACACATCCAACGAGGGAACGATAATCTTTGTAGGAGTATTTATAAGGTAGACAGACACAAGAGGAGAGACGGGCCCAGATATATCACCATGTTTAGCACCCCGTTATGTTAGTATTAAGGTTAATATCCTGTAAATTTGAGGCCAATGTGTGTCAGGAACTTGACTTTCTAATACCTTAAATATACCAGAGTATTCCGGTCTACAGCTTAGGTAGGCAGTTTAGATAATCTGAATAACGATGGCGCATTATTTCGATTCTCATCGATAGTTCAAGTCAATAGTGTAATTGTCATTACCTATCTGGGCACATACCTTTAGGTATGTACTTCGTAAAGACAGTGCCTTTTAGAATTGGAATTTTGCATCTAGTCTTCCCTTTGATATTTTTTAATTGAGATATTTTAGCGAGCCCCCTTTTATTTCGTTAAAAGCGTTATATAAGAGTATTTCCTATCTCCTGTACGCTGTAATTATAATTGCTGATACTTAGGGATTAACTAGGTCTATGGCGACGAAGTAAATATGAAGATTCGATAAAATATAGGTTATATATATCAATGACTATTCAAAATCCAGCATGTGCTTCTTAGACATGAATCAATAACTACCTAATATATGACAATAAGAAATTTGAACCTTTGATTTTCTTTACGCACTAGGATCACCTGTTAAGTAAGCTCTCTAATATTTCAAACCATGAGTTTTCTTGGGTAATAAACCCTGTTGTTACAATTCATCCGCTCAGCCCCTCTAGCTATACCAGCTGAACCTCGGCGGCATTAAGGTTCAAACTAAGTTTACAATAGGGTTAGTTACTACTATCGTCAAGGGCTAATCCCAGATCAAGCTTATTCATGCGAAGATCTACTAGGGTAATTCTAACCTGCTTCCGAACCGGGATATCCGACGTTCCGCACATCGCCGAGTCCGAGAATATTCCGCATATCAGACAGCCTTACCGTACGGAATACTAGTGGAATAAAAGTGGTAGATAGGCTAAGTTAGATTTACATAACGCAGAGCGCGCGACTTGCGGCTGGGAAGTTCCGCCGACAAGGGGGACCCGTAATGATACATAGATAGCATTTCCGGATCGGCCTTGCCCATGTCAATGGGCATGGTCAATGGGCCTGTACGTACCATGTACGGCAAGACCCTGTCACAGAAACAAGTCGGATGACCGCATAATGGCTGCCACGTATCTTCGTCACCGTGCCTCACTCTAGCAGCACCAAACCACCAAACCACCAAACCACCAAATCCGTTAGACTCCTTCTTGCAGGCACGGTAGCACGGGATCAGATAGGAACCAGACCGCATTTTTGACAGGATGCAATCAGGCGGGCCATGTACGCCAAGAGGATGAAATCCTTTGGGGCCGGCTAAGTAACTGCACTGGACCGTCCTAGAGTCGAAAGTGAATTAGGTAATGTACACCGACAATTCGACCTTGCAGCTCGCAGATAGATCGGAGACCTAGGGCAGTTAGGCAAGATGGATCCAGACTCTCGGGCTTGGTGGCAGCTGGACGTTAGGCTCTCTTAGAGCTTGTAGGTTACAGTAGGTTGCAGTAAGTTGCAGTAAGTTGGAGAGTATTGACTGGATATTGAATGACACGAACCAATCAATATACCCTGAAGGGGTATTCACGTGACTGAATATGCATGCAGCGAGCCGCTCCCGCAAATTGAACCCCATTTTTAACTGACTAGTAGTCGATATGGCAGTTTGTTTGCTGGCCCCCGAATCGCTGCCGAGTACGGTGGGTACTGAACCAAGCAAGCCCGCACATTTTCTTTGTTGGTCCCCTCCTCTCTCAACTTGCCCACAAATATAGTAAACCTACTGGAAAAGCCTCCTACGCAAGCGAGCATACACTACACGCAAGAAAAAACCCTAATCTACAACATGTAGCGATAGGAGTAGCACTGAAACCGAGTGCATTGAATAATATGAAATCGATCCCCCTGTTCCAACTTCGTTTATACGCGGATAAACTCCCTCACCCTCTCCAAGATAAAGGAAGCAAGGGGAATGGATCAATGCTCTGTTCCGAGTAAAGTTTCCAACAGGGAATCCCCTTTTGAGATGGTCGCGCTGAAAATCCGATCACCATTGTCACAAGCCTATCTATCATGCGCTACGGCGGCGCCTAATACAGGCTACTCCGTACGTAAAAGCGAGTCAGTTGACGGCCTCTCGCTTACCGAACTATTGCCCATCTCTTTTACTTCAAAAGGCCATCCACCGGGTCTTATTGGTTGGCACGGGTATAGCCGAAACCACTCGGCGTATTCTTGCTAGAACCAGAGGAGCCGGCATAGTCCAATAAAGCAAGGAAAGATGCAGATAATCTGTCGATATTTGCGCTAACCTTCGTGTCGACTTCCGAACTACTGGGGAAATTGGCGCTTCGCACCCCACCACGAACATCTTGCGTCGTACTTCGGCCCACCTCTTCTTACTTATCCGTCCACGTACGTAGTGCGGTGTAGTGTGTTGTATTGGCATGTATTCTTGTATAAACTGTAGACCGGGGATGCATGTCACTGGTATAATGTGCCCCTCTAGAGTCGAGGTTCTAGACTAGTGATCAGCACGCTCTCATGAAACTGAACCCTGACGAGCGTCGCATCGTTGGCATCCTAAAGAATTGTATAGGATAGGTATACCACGCTTACATATGGATTTATCGTTTGAAGCGTCGTGCGATGCAAACCTCGTCTACCAGCCTACCTAATCTCGATCTACGCCAATGGCCTAAGCAGGGAATAGCCTATATCATGGAGGGGCGAGATGGTTCGTCCTTATAGCTTTGATTAATAAGAGCGCATACAGCGGGTTAGCTACCAAGAAATAGTCAGGCGACTTGGCAGAGTATTGGCTGAGTATTGGCTAGGCTAGTCCTTTGCAAGGTGGTCTCGAACCATGGAAACGATTCCGAGAAGGCTCTGGTGCAATAGATAGAAGGTCATTGGATGTACAAGGGAGGTTTGCACATTGTTTGCGGCTGTTGTCGGATTCGAAACGACTCAGGTACCTAAGGTAGGTAGTTCAACGCCACGTTTTCCCTATCGCATGCAAACATCACTAACATTAGCATGGCGAAGCAATGGGATTTCGTATGTGGCACAAGCTTGCATGTAGTATAAAGTAGAAGCCGACTGCAAGCGCATGGCGCTGACTACGATGTTAGGCGTTTGGTCCCCAACACTACCACACTTCCCTATAATAGCCGGCTCTACATGTTATCTACATATTAATAATTCCGAGGCGGTATAGAAGTACATGGTAAACATCGATAGATTTACGTTTGTATAGATACAACATGCTCACGATCAATTTCATCGAGTGTGACGACGATAGTACCGAGACGATCCTATGTAACGGCGGCGTAGAGAAGCGGCGGTGAGATTTTATTTGAATATGTGTAGTATATTTGAAGCCCGCCTATGTTACAGACCGAGACCGAGACCGATAAATCCATAGAACGTACCTAATATCTACTACTAGTTAACGCCATACTACATGCCGAGCATTGTTTCGCATCACATCCGGATGGGCTACGTAACTACCTACATAAGCGGCTAACCGAGATTTCATAGATTCTGTAGATTTTGTAGATTTCACGCCTTCTTGGCCTTCAACGTGAAGTCTGATCGTGCATACATAGTACGGAATTACCCGACTAAGGTAACGATCCCTTGGGTCCCGCATATCAGATCTTGTTACACCTGCGTCACCTTCTCATATACGCGCTTGGATTATTGCCTTGCTGTTACATAAAAATTCAGATACGGCGCTTATAACTACGTACTTGGATAGTTGACATGGATGTATCAATATGAGCATCAATAATATGCATGTATGTAATCAATACTTCATCCCCTAGACAGCTACCTCCTCTTACCTGAAATACCTAAATTGATATGTATTGCATCTTAATATATTATATACTTGCATATGGTTATGAATTACATAGGTAGATACGAAGCTTTGCCGCATCATGGAAATTACTTTAGGCAATTATTTAACACCACCTGCCTCCAGTCTTCGATACTCCGGTGACCTGCATCCATGAAGAGATATGTACCTTAGGTAACAATAATATATACGAAGAAGGCATGTTAGTACCTAGGTAGTAATTACCTGCTACGTTGGGTGTTACTAGCGTTACCTGCATGGGTAGTAGATCAATATGTGGCAGGTAAGACAGGAGTTGTATTGTAACTCCCACAGGAATTTGGAAGATCTATCTTACATATCCCATCACCTTTTCATCTTCTAGTACCTGAGGAGCACCAGGCTTACGGGATGCGGTTCGGGTACGCTATGTCGCTTTAAACCCGGGTATGAGGAAGAAGGAACAGAAGGTTTCATCGTCATTTCTTATCCATTCATCCATCTCTCGTGTTTCTACCCCGTGTATCCAATCCCTTGCTACCGGTGCGGCAAGAATTGCTACGACTGGTTCCCAACGGATCCAACTCGGTGGGGAGTACCATACTTTTCTATCTTGCTATACCTATTTCTTTGTGCATTTTACCCGACATGCAGGCTGACAGCATATAGAGAAAACCCAGTCGGCCAATGCTGGTCGATGCCCAAAGCTCTCATCACACGCAAACGATTCAAACCTCGTACTATGGGTGCGTCTGCTGTTGCTGTTGCTGCCGCTGCCGGTGCCGCTGCCGTGGTAGCAATTGGCTTAGACTAGGTATTTGCGCCTTCAAAGCCTTCAGCAATTTGTCTCTCTATCACAAATAAATACGACGCATGTCAGTCCAACGAGCTGATGCCATCCATGATCCATGTTCAATTTTCCTCAATTCACCCCACCCTTGATCGCAAACGCACTTCCGTTTTCTTCATCTTGCAGACGCCCGCGACGCCGTACATTCCTACCTCTTACATAGTACGTCCTTTCGCTCAAGCCGCCTACGCTTGATACGTCCAGTCCCTTGCGGCCAGACCCAACCTAAGGCCGACCCAGACTCGTCTCTGCTTTGGTGCCTTGTCCATGCAACACCAGCTATACCATCTCAGAGGCTAAGGGGCGTGCTGCTGCAGCAAGCTTTACATATGCACTTCCTCTTGTGACTACGGTTCGCTGCGAAGCTTGCAGGTCCACTTGCATAGCCACAGTAGAACCTAACCATCCCTAGACTTTCTTAGCCTCCAACCCGCCTGGAAATCATGAGTCATCGCATAAAACACGCCGTTGGAATTGGATAGGGTAGCACCACGCATCCTACCGTGAAACCCCAAAGAACCCAGCTGCACCTGCGGGAGGCACTGTCCGAAGCGCACCTGCCAGGGGGTTAGCAGAGAGAGATCCATTTGAACCATGCAAGGCATGGGGATTATATAACCGCCAAGAAGAGCAACTCCACGATTCCATAGCACATCGGCTCCATTTTAATTGCTTTTCATGGTTGCAATGATCGAGCCCGTCGTGGCGTGCCGTGGTATCCTTCCCGCTTACCGTTTGTCCCGATTTGCCCGTTTCGGTGCGTACCGTACCACACCCCAAGCAAATTAACGCATACGATACCGAGGCGGTGAATGGGTATGATTGAGTCCCATTAGATGCCAAAGTAAACAAAGAGTGACAGGCTATGCTACGGAAGTGTCATACGTATGCTAGTTATCCATAGTTGCTGTACATGGTATCCCGTCATTCACTACACACCCCGGTGTGACTACAAGGATCTACAATTAAGTTCCCAACGTAGAAAGTTATCGAGTAAAAAGTCGCCGGAATGTTGACGACAAGCCTACGAGAAGTGTACGATATGTCGCCGACAACGCATATTTTAAGGAAACAAAACTAAGACACAAAATAGCAAGTAAACGTCAAAATAGTCGAGACACCAAACCTACTTGTTGAGAAAAGAAAACCGAAAACGAAAGACAAACTAGGAAAAGAGATAAAACGATCAGCGCATAACGACAACATGGCCGAGACTAATAGGTTACACTTTAAGTAAGCTGGATCACCCTTCTCCTTGAATCTAATTCGCCGACAACACATCATTCCTTCCCGTTCTGGCATATATTCCTTGTATATCGAGATGGTATCATCCTTCATTCGAGAACTATAGTTCATCCCTGTATGAGAGATCCATCATAAAGCAGATGTCGTATCCCAGTTGGTTACAATGCAGAGGACGATGGACAGGGGAATGACATAACATGTCCACTACCTGCGTACCTTGTTATTCTACTGCCTCATCTGTTTCTTTGCTTCTCACCAAGGACAATTCCATGTCGCTATTCCTTTTCCTTGGCTATTTTTAGTTCATGTATGGTTCTTATACTAGGCCAAGAGATGATCATGTCTGTGGTCTAGCAACTAGTAGTAGTGTGATCCATCTGAGAAGCATTGACGCACAATGGAACCTTGTGGATCAATATATGTGGCACAGCACGGCACGGGCAATAGTATCAGCTAATAATAACGTCCCTGCAGCGAAGAGGCGTCAACGTACGACTCTAAACATGGTAAGCTTAACGAGCGCCTAACGGAAGAGATCCAAGCCCGATTGGACTGGATTGGCGTCGACTGGGCTAGCGACGACGAAGACGACGACGATGATGATGACGATGATAATAGCGATGGAGAGGCAGAACCAAAGCCTATCCAATCTCGCAGGGAGGTACGGTTGCTTGACTACGCTTGCGGGACAGGCACAATGTCGAGAGTGGGTTTCCTATTTCGTGGAAATATTTCCCCCTTAAGCTACCTCTCATCCCAGCCCTATCGCATCACTTCGAGTATTGTAACGGATTTTTCTGACATCTTCCTATAGGCATTAGCCCCTTATACGACGCAAAGCGTTGGTATCGACATATCAGAAAATATGGTTGCAGCGTATAACTCACGTGCTGAGAACCAAGTATGTATAAGGTATTTAGCTTATGTAGTTGGCGAGACATGTCTAAAACCTTCATAGGGCTTAACTCGCGATGAGATGCATGCTATAGTGGGAGATCTTGCGGCGGCAGATGGACCGCAGCCTTCGGAACTTTTCGCAGACTCGCGTTTCTTCGGATTCGATCTGGCGACTGTCGGAGGTGGGCTCCACCATTTCGCGGACCCGGAGCTGGCTGCCGACCGCCTTGTCGAACGTCTACGTCCCGGTGGCGTCTTACTGGTCTGGGACTTCTTACCGCACGGACCTCACCACGGACTTAATGCGCATGCAGTCTTACATCACGGCCTCTCCGAGGAAAGGGTCCGAAAAATGTTCGAGCATGCCGGGGCCGGAAAAGGCTTCTCTCTCGAAGTACTCGGCTCCGGCCTCATGCCCGGCCACTACGCGCAAGAGGGTAAGGAGCTTATGAAGAGACAAATATTCCTGGCTAGAGGAGAGAAAGCTGCATAATTGCAATACCCTAACAAGCATTGAGGAATTGACGGTTTATGTTTTTATAGGGATATTGGGACGATGCACCCTCAATTATTCGACCACGAAGCAGTACTTAAACAGCGCTATAATTAGTACCACTCTGTATTAATTAAATTCAAGATATATATGGGGCCGAACAGTTATCTTGAGACTTATTATCGTGGGCTTTGCGGCGTATCTCGAGTAGTTATGATGTTAAAGATGTGGCAGTAAACCCCTTCAAAGTACTTCGCTATCATGTCTTCGTCACGCACTGATTCAATTAATATAGCTTTATTAACTGCAACCCCAAAATCAACCCCGGAAGATCTCGTGAGGATATTGGATATTACAATTACAGTGCTTGATCTGTAAAGCTATTGGTTATTTTGAGCCACCGTGTCCTACGAAGCTTTTTATGACTTTTCTTAAGCGGTCGATGTTATTTGGGGGTATCTAAACGCACTACGCGTTTAATATTACCACGTTGACTTCGCTTTGAAGTAACTAATGAGACTCAGAATAGTATATAGTAAGGGTGGTACTTGGAGACTAGCGGTACTAACCAAAGGACTGAGCCCATAGTATCGTCGAGGACGCCCGGTTGAGTTCGGTATACGTTTCGTCCTTGAATCTTGAGCTAAGTTAGTCTACAGTTATAACATCATCGTCGGAATTCACTTCGTTTTCTTTTCTGGCTGGCTGGGTATCACGAGGGGGGGCTGGAAGGCAAGGAAACAACTTCGTCGTTCAGCAAAGAACTCTGACATAAGCTATAGGAGTCCGTGGCTATGCATACTAAAAATATTCTTTACTCTGGATGAGATATATAAAATCCTAACACTGAGTGTCTTGAGCATATACGTACGGGTCGATATCAATATCTTGGTGGTTTAACACATGATGATATGGTATACCAAGGGCCCATGGAGAGACTGCTTCTGTGATTCAACTAACCAGTTGTTAGATTGATATACATGGCTTATACGCACCATAGGACTGGGACCCTAGATTTTCGTGGAGATGATATTATAGAGTAATCATTTCGAGCTCCGAATAGGAGGACCGTGGCGGCTTGGTATGTTAAAGGCCTGGTAACGGTACTTCATAAGATTTCCATGAGTCTTCACGGGAACCTCTTTATCAATGCAACTGGTAGAGAAACAAGCGCCTTTAAAGTTTAGACGTGTAATGATCGCACTTGATGTTGATTAAGTATTACTCATTGTCAAACCCAATCATACCAATTACTAGTTCATCATCGATAGATCGCATCATCACGACCACTGAAGTGTAAGGTTTAGTTCATATATATTTACGCTCTTTCTCTATTCGACATGTTATAGACCGAACAGGTATGGTCCTTAAGGGCTATCATTCAGGTGCTACATATGCCCAGTCGTAGGACTCTTAGATTGAACTACTTGGCCGCTTTATTCATCCTTTGAACATATCAGCAATCCCATTCTCGGAAATATCCCAGTCCCTCCTTTGACCTCTTATCTTCTTTCATTTTCTAAGGTCGCCCACTACAATCACGCCCCACAAAGTCGTACGATCTAGCCCAGTTCTCTTGAGAGCAAGAAAGTAAAGCCGAGTACTAGCTAAACGCATAACCACCTGTAGGTTAGTTGGCACATAAAATAACACATTCTAATCCTGCTATAGAACGAGGAATGTGGAGCTAAACCTAACAGCCGCTCCGTGGCCTGGAGGATGAGAAGTCGGGTTGCAGAAGTAGGTAGTGATATAGAGCCGGGTTTCATAGGAGAGACACGGAACTTGAGGGCAGTTTTCGTATTAGACGAATGCATCTCCATCTACCTAAGTAGGGGATACCATATTTATAAACTTGAAGCTTTGGAACACCTGCTTAATACCCGAACGTGCACTTGGTTAGGGCGTCAGCATAGGAAAGTAAAAGAGAACGTTCCAACTCAGAATAGTATTACATTAATAATTACCTAGCGCTCTAGTACCAAGACAGGCAACCTACACTCCATCCACTCGCTTCGGGTATCTACTCATTCCAAATGTCAAAACCGCACGCTCGTCCATCCACCACCTTCTCTAGACAGAAGTATTATCCTTGCCTTTCTCCTCCCTAAACGTATATTCTCCCGTCTCCTCATCCCTATCCATACGGAAACACCTCTCGGCATATATCCCCTGGAGATTCTTATCGCGCCACGCTGCGCCCAACCGGCGCACCATAACCGGCTTCCACCCACCGACGTTGATCGTGATGTGCCGCCACGGACTCCCTCGCTTATCGCGAATCAAAGCTTCTAGCGTCGCTACCGCGGCGTTGCAGTCCAGATCTTCGTTATTACGTACCGTGTGGTGAGTGCGCCAAACCGTCTGCGTGTTCAAGTTGAGGGCGCGGAGTCGAGGGAAATTGCAGAGCGCCTCTAGGAATCGGTCAGGGTCGCACATGGTTACGTCCATGCCCAGCTCGAGGTAATTGAGATTGACTAGTGCGTGGGAGAGTTGAGTAAGATCTTCTACCCGCATCGTGGGATACCGTTGTGTCTCGTCGCTAAAACCGGTGTAGTCCAGGAAGCTCAGAGCCTCGAGCGAATTAGCATGGCAAAGTAGCGAATCTATTGGAAATAATTCCGTATTACACATTAACTTAATATTTTGAAGAGCCTCGATACGGCCTATCAGTACGTGTAGAATCCTCGTCACGTCTTCACGTTGGTATAAGGTATGTGTAGTGAAGTCTTCGCAGTGGAGTGTCTGGAGGTTGTTGAGTTCCGCAATGGGCACCGAAGTAAGGAATTTGAATAGGGGCACGTCGATAAGAGTTAAATGCTCTATCCGCGAGAAATTCCAATGCCTTCGGACCTCATCAGCGCTGTGGTTCCAGTCGTACGACTGAAGTAATATCCCTTTAAAAGGCGGCAAGCGTTCATTTCCATTGAATTCAAAGCTTGTACCTTGACCACGGCCGTTATAGTTGAGATTTTGTGTGCATTGAGCCTGGACGAGGAATCGTTTTAACGAGTCGATGGTTCTCGTGAGAGTAGGACTCTGCATCCTTAGAGAAATAAGATTACTCGCGGGGATATGTTGGGTATAAGTGCTGTATAAGTCACTATAAGAGTCCTTTAGAGGCAGGTCTTCAACATATATCTTGGTTCTGTTAACCTTGATGTGGTACGGGCTCAATATATCGGACGGCGTCGAGAAAGGAAGGCCTGAGCCTGTAAGAGATTGATTTTCAACGTAACGCCATCTTTCAGTGTCAGCCATTTTAGTTTCGCAAAGCTCAAAAGATTGAATACCTCAAAGACGAGAGCCTTTGTACTCTGTCCAACACCCGCCTAGTGCTTCTCGCGTCAAGATTGCTCCTTGATTCTACGTGTCTAGTAAATAAATAAATATTTCTAAAATAGCCAGGGAAATATGTCTCGGCGAGGGGGTCTATTATATGCTCGCTAAGTTGTATAGTTTCATAATGTATGGGCGTAATGATCGTTTCGAGCCGTCTAGATAACCGGCGAGCATCAGCTAGCGTCCGGGAGTCAATGGCTCTCAACTACGGAGATATACTGTTAACTGCTAAGTCTTTGGATGAAAGGAGGTGGTAAATTGATGGGTAACCTAATACCTGTTTAAATATAATATTTAATAATTCCGCACTGAGGCTGCTAAGAAATATCGTTTGTGTAGGAACATCCACTGTGGCTCCTGTTTCCATGAGGCGATTGTGACTAATCTTTTTTCTTTTGGAATAAGTAGACAATGAGTAGATGGGATAAGTCTTCCGGATGGTCTTCACTTGGGTCATGATTGGTATTGAGAAGTCCCAGGTGATGTAACGAGCACAGCAGCTTAACTGCCTTATTAGTGACGACGTGAGTTTCTGCTAGGTGGGAGATAAGTCGACTATGTAATAAAGTGAGGCTAAATACGGTAGGTAAAATTAATATGATAGGTGACAAGAAAAAAACGCTAGCAGTAACGCGGCGCCTTGGGTATTCATGAGACGAAGACAATTTATCAAATGTAAGAGCTAATGAGAAGAGCGGTATAAGCGATTTCGACCTCGAGCTAGGCTTTGACAGATGGAGAGGAAGCCACTAAACCTCTCGCGGGCAAAATAGCGAATGTAGACTATGTGGACTTGCATACTATCTGGAAATAGTATATAAATTGTATACCATGAACCGTAGCCTACATTAGCTACCGACACGATATACGGATCAAGTGGTAGGTCGAGATACGTAGGTATCTATGTATATTAGACCTTTTGCTCATCCCTAAGACCAAGTCCCGGTGTCACATCAAGATCTGTCTGTGGAGCCGGGGCGGAAGTTAAGTGAGATGGAATTAAATATTAAACCTAGCGAGGACACCGTCATTCTCGTAGGATTCGGTAGCTTAAGTTCGCTGTTTGAAGTAGAAAGCTACCTGAGTAGGTAGGAATTCCCGAGAGCAGATGAGACGATCCAGCCAATAAGATGTTCCTAACGGTCCGAACTCGCGCCATTAAGCATCTCGGTTCGAGCCAGCATATAAGAGGATTCTTATGCATTGCCAGACATCAGCACATGGCCTTTACATTGGTAATGCACTAGGAGGAGGAGATGTGAGAAAACCACTATGTATGTAATAAGAGTGTTGGAGTGTAAAAGTACGTACCTAACTTACACATAGGATTCGCAAGGTTCGCCAAAAAGAGGCGACCCCACATGGCGCTAATGCCCGCTTCTCAAAACGTGCGGTGAAGCTGCCGGTTACTTTTTGGCCTCCACGCGCAAGCCGCGGGCTCGGAGGTAAACCGAACCCCGCCGCCTTCACACGTGGAGCATGGGCGGGACTTAACAGCTTGAGTAGAATAATATAGTTTCTCTACTACTCATATAATTAATATAATTAGGTAGATATTCATTTTGGTGATACCTTCTTTACTGTCTTATATCCCCTCACTAGTTCTTCTATTACTACTAGTAAAGCTTAAAATAGAGCATTCGGAAAGATAAGGTACATCCGCTCCCACGTGTCACTTACCCCATTAGGAAATAAATAAAAAACGGATCTTGCATCTTAAGGGTTTTGGGAATGTACCTACCATCTAGCATATGTACATACACCATGTACACCACACGCAGACAAAAAAAAAAAAAAAAGGCAAATACGAATAGCAGTTTAGCGTCGAGGGTGTGTACGAAGAAATGCGCAAGATCGGGGGATCTACCAATAGCCAGATCGGACAAATCAAAGCGGTAAGCGGGAACAGGGTATAATCATAGCGTTCCTGGGGAGGAAAATGGGAAAATGGGAAAATGCAACAGTGCGCCCGGACCCGCCACTTAGGACCCGCCAGGAGGGTTCGCCCGGCTCTGCCCGCATCGTCCAATCGCAACTTTGCGTCTGAGGCTCCGCCGGCTTTTTGCGGGTCTCTGCCTCGTGTTACATACATGTACATAATAGGTACAATGGAAACGTATACAGAAATTACTTGGGCAGTGCGATTATAACGCCTGCTGCCTGGTTTTTACGAATTGGATGAACGGGAAGAATAATTTTAATTTAGCACAATGTAGCCTAGAAGTACATATTTCTTGGTTAGCTAACTACCTAATACATGTACTAGCGAACCTAGCAATAACACGTAGGTTGGGTGGTTGGTTTGTCTAATGTTTGCATTAACACACTGGTCAAGAGAACTTACAAACAAAATCCCTGTAAATAAGATAAGCAATGCGTTGTTATTAGCCATGCACTGATGCTCAACTTAAAAAACAAATGTTGAAAAAAGAAAAAAAGGCAACTCCAACCGGCTTCTTTTTCTCTAAAGAGCTGAACGATGGGCTATCACAAAATGAACCAGCTTACCTAGGTAGCCACTAGGTTCTATGATGATTCCCCAACTAAATATGTATGAGCCTTTATAACTCCTTACATGCTCATATCAACCCGTTATAACTACTTAACACAATGGAAACATCGGACAAAGCCCCAAGTACTTGTAGAGACCGGATGACCAAACCTTAGTACAAGATAGTAAGAAACCTTCTTTCCTTCTAGAACGCTTACCTGAAACGACGGAGCATATCTAGCAGTAACACATCTACGAGTCTAGGGCTAACTTAAGAAATTAGCTATCGCATCATAGCGAAAGCCCGTCATATGGATAGATAGTACCGAATATAGCGTGACACCGAACACGAGGATCGGATCTCGAAAATCTCGAAAACGAAGTCTATACTGTAGGTAATCTTAGTAGACAAGGTAATATTGTATTAACTCTACACCTAGCTAGCGAAGCCGCCACTGTTTCGAAGTACAACGCATCAGCCGCTATGACAGATTCCTTTACCACACCTCAAAGATTTACGCTTTCTTTTCTCTTCCTCCCTAACCCCCTTTCCCTACACCAGGAGCGGAAGAGATACTTTTAGCCACAACGATCAAGGATGCCTATCCTCATTCACACATAGCAGTCTTAGGAGCTAAACGTCTATCCTCCTTCCTCATATAACCATAAAACTTCACCGCCAGCACACCACCCACTCAACATAAACACAAGCACCAGGCAACATCAAAGCGTATACAAACGATCGAACTGAAGTCTTAACATTTGGGGAATCTCGTTTAAGACGAAAAAAGCAGCAGCAACGACAAAAATAATAAACAAGGACGGCATCAAAAAAAAAAAGCCCGGCATCAATACAACAACGACGGAGTAGAACAGCACCATGCGTGATCTTCGTGGCTGCTTATAGCCAGCCTTTTCCACCCCTGCGCAAATTTAATTCTAACAGGTAGATAGAAGCCTTTAATCCAGACAAGCGGAGCATATGCAAGCACGGCTATCATCAACACACCGATCAATACCGGTAGATCGGCTCCTTTTGTTTCGGGGGTGGAGCCTCGTAATCACTAACGTCGTCACGCGAGCGTCGATCGTCAGATGAGGAGTCTCCCGCAGCTCCGTGCATCGTCTCCTTACCGAGGGCGCTCTCTTGCCTACCCAAGTAACTCGGCGTCGTCTCGAAACCAGGGTGGAAGGGCTCGAACGCTAACCGGGGCTCCTCGATATAGTTTGATGATGCCCCACCGCCAGATCCCGAGCCGCCGGCCGCACGGGATCTCGACCCTGAGGGCTCGGGATCCCTGAACGGATCTTCGTCTTCGGTAGCGGGCGTGTGTGTTCTTGACGGCCCTGCTATAGCAGGTTCGTATTCTCTTTCCTTACCTTTGCCATTTGGTTTTCGAGCTGGTATAGTAGGGGGCTCTAAGCTACCCCCATTCCGTTCCGACTCTATGGGGCTCACGGAATTCCGAGACGGAGGCTCAGTCTGAGATTGGGGCTGTGGCTCCATGACAGCGACGAGCTTCCTAGCGTTTAACATAGCTCTTTGATGTAAGCTCAGCGATGCCTGGAGCTGCTCGTTTGTGTCGATCAGGCTCTCCATAGTGTCATTATCAGGGGCTGGGTTCTCAGCAGTCATGTACATCTGTATGCTTCTACTTGCGCTAGTGCAGCGATCGGCAAACTCCTTGATCAGGTCGTTACTGAGCACTTCGACTGGCGGGGTGTTGGTAACCACTTGTTGTAGCAGATTCGCAGATGTCCGCGCTTCCTCTAGCCTACTAGCTAGCTCAACAGGGCTCGGGAGATTGCGGTTCGAATGGGCTCGCGCGAAATAGTTCTGGGAATGGGGGTTGGCTGGAGGTGCAGTCGTCGCACGGGTCACCGGAGCAGGCCGTCCCTAATTAGCAAAACATTAGCATGGCCCAAGTAGAGAAAAACGCCGGCTCAACATACTCCATATAATTGCTGCGCTCTATCTTTCTCCTTCTTCCACATATTAATGAGAAGGGTCAAGCCTTCATCGTACGCCTTAGTGTTTTCAAAAACGTCTAATGTCTCCATCATCATCTGTCGCACACTCGGATCACGTACGGATCTCAGCAGCTCTTTCGAAGTGTCGGTAAATTTTGAGTCCAAGTTTCTAGTAAATGTTTCACCAGGGTTATCGGCAAGGATGCGAATGAGCATGATGGCATTGTACTGGTAGGATGGTTTCGTCCAATAGTCCCTTTTCAGGTATTTTCGAATTAGGCGCGCGCATTCTGCCGCTGCGGATGGAGATGACTCGGCAGCATCTACGATGGGAGGCAGGAAAAGGACTTCGTCTCCAGAGTTATTGGAGTCAGATTCGCAGAAGGATTTCTAATCGAAAGTCAGGATTGTTCGGTTCAACTTCAGGCAAGAATTGAATTTGGTAGGTGTGGACGCACCACACAACGGTGGGCCGTAACCTCGGGGCTTTGGCCTTGGGGGACTTCAGGAGTGTTCGGAACTTAAACAAAGTATATGTTAGCGAAAAGTATAAATCATCAAACCTGCGAGTTTGCGCAAGCGACAACTTAAGGTAAGGCTTCCATCGTACCATCGGCAGACTTCTTCTTTCTTATGGTGCCAAGCACCTTGCTCATCTTGAGCGACTTCATTGGAACCTGCGATTGTTTCCCCTTAGCGGCGCATATGCCGGTAGTTCAAACGTGAATCGGGAAAAGTCGAGGCTAGCGATCGCGGTTATAGTGCAAGTCTCAGCCTAGAGTTTTGGGTATGTGGTGACGGATAAGGCACTAAGTTAGGTAGGCAAGGAAGCTAAGCGGCCCCCTAAGGCTGCCAGCGGTGAAAGTGTGATGGTGGTTGTCGTTTGGATGTATAATGCAACTCTGAACCTAGGGACCGATAGGTAGAGGGTGGGTAGAGTTTGAAGGGTTTGGGGGCTGCAGGGTGACGAAGATGATGATTATATCGGCTGGACGAGTGGATAAGGCGGATGAAACTGAGGCCTGATTTGTTGCGTTTTGGGGTTGGCGCACTTAAAAAAGACAGGCTTAATTGGCGAAGAGCTTGATAGAAAGGAAAGACTAGGTAAAAGGTTGGTTGTTAGAAAAAAGATTGTGTTAGGAGTTAAGACAATCTCCAATTCTCCATGAGATGAGAGGGACGTCTTGTCGGCCAATTGACATAAAGTAACAGCGCTCCACTGCCTAATGCAGTATGTACTTCAACTGTGATGCCTCGCGACTGCCTAAGAAGAAACTCTTCGGACCCTAGCAGCCCCAGTTGCCACATTTCTCCAAGCTAGTACGGATTATATCTTAACCAATCATCGTCTACCTATGCGGGCCGAAATAGTTAAGGCAGGATCATCATGCAGCACTCTTAATTATGCACAGCCTCAAAACTATACGCAACGACTATACATGTGACGATATGCAGGTGTACGAAAGAGAAAACATATTGGCGAGATTGGATACTCTGCTCTACGTGTAGCTAAGCATTTGAGTCACGAATACCCTCATCGTCTTGGCTTCTTTTCATCGAACGCGTGGCACATCAGCATCTCTTCATTATACACGCATTGTCCTACGTATTCAATCGTCAGATGATTAATCACTTTCATAGTTAGAAAGGATATTTGAACTATTATATATCTCCCACGTGTACGTGTGGATATCCCACTTCTATATGCTGACAAAGCATCGTGGCTTGTCTTTTATAGTCGCCCCTTTTTGACAATATCCTAGCATATCATTCTCTTATTCATAAATCATTTATCCAACCATGTAACTTCCATCTATATACTATTACAAAATTACAATTTAACTAACAAGAGGTATTGCTTTTCATTGCAGTCAGTTTAAAGAAACTCATTCTAACAATTGGATTATAACTTCATGGGTGCGAGTTTACTGCTTAGAATAGAAACTTAGTATTGACATACCGTACTGTACTTTTCGAAACTATTCTGTAGCAACAAAACTACATGAACTAAAACAACTAACTCGGAACAAATCACAGAGCAAATCATTAAGGTAAAGTCTGGAATCAGGGGAAAGTATTCGTTGAAAACGGCCTCAGATTGGAAATCTCTGGTTCTCTAGTGCATACATACAAAGCAAGACAGCCAGCCAGCAACACCCCTGACGGCATACGGTCCCTCTGAGCGCGCCCTTTCGGCAGCCTACCGTCTATGAAGGGGTGGAAAACAAACACAAAGCTCAGCTCATCGACGCCGTACGCCCTAAAAATGCCAACGCAAGAGTGTGATGTAATATACACAATGACAAAACCCTCGTGTTCCGCCGTATCTGTCCGAGACCTCGGAGACCTTCCACTCGTCGAATAAATGTGCAAAAGAGGCATAACTCGGGGATTATATCGCCAATGAGTCAGTAAGGGAGATGCTGAAGCGATGAAGCCTCAGGTGATATCGGTGCATAACTAGTCCATTCCAAGAAACAAACCGGGCAGGTTTGAAGCCCTACATTATATGGAAAAGGACCACATTTTCGCTTCGGTGACCATATGATGAAAGGGCCACTAATAATATCTCTCGAGTGATAATATATCACGAGTGAACAAGCCGAATTCTGTTCACAGATCGGGGTATATCGACGGCTTTTCTGGGAGACATCGGCTCAACATCGTTCTCGTCTTCATCGTCTTCATCTTCCTCCATGGGAATTGTCTTCTTGCTAGTAGCCATCGACAACTCCGCATCATCCTCATCCTCGTCTTCATCTTCTTCCGGCACATCCTCAGAACCCGCTGCGACAATTGTAAGACTCGAGTTATGCGATGCGGGCTTTCGAAGGGCGGTTCGGAAAGCTGCCGGTAGCTTCGTCTGCACCTTAGCCTTGCTGTAGGTTCTAACTACAGTCTTCGACTTTCGGACTGCCGATGTCTTCTGGCTTGAACCTTTCGGACCCAGAATCGCCTTCGTGTTGACAGAGATTGTCGACACGCTACGCTTAATAGCTGTGGCGGCACCCTTGGCCGCTTTGAGACCAGCAGTAGAGAGGGCACGCTTAGCACCCTGTGTCTTTACCCCTGTCGCGGTCTTAATCTTGCGCTTCTTCGCTGCGCTACCCTCCGCATCTTCTTTCTCGCCAAGTGCGTCTTTGAACTTGCGCTTTCCGCCACTAGCGCCCTTCTTACCAGCTCCCGTCTCCTTGGGCGGCTTCGGCTGCTTCACTTCCTTGGGTTTCGGGCCCAAGACTCCTCGACAATTCGGGCTACCACAGAGACACTTTTGGACGTTCTTAGCAGAAAAAGGGTCAAAGTTGTAGTCGTATGTCAACTCCTCGCCCGTCATGATGGGGCGGTCGCCCGCAAAGAGGGCCATGCGAGGTTGTCCCGAGACAATCCACTTGATCATTCGGCAGTTTGGCGAACATGAATGATTGACGAAACGAGCGATACTACCAGTCGTTGCGTCGATGATCATGTTCTGGTCAAATGACATCAGATAATAACACTGAACTTGTCAGTAACTGCACCAGGAGTTTTCATAGCCAAGATCCATCATTAATCTTACCTGATTGTCCTGGTACTTCTCATTCATGCGGCGATCGCACTCCTCTTCTGTGATGATCTCACCGGTGTACTCCATGATAATCTGATTGGGCTCGAAGCATCGATTGGCACGAATACCATAGCCTCTATCCGAGGTCTTGATAACCTCTACTCCTACGCGGTACTTTCCTCCTTCCTTGATCCGCTCCTGGAGTCTCGCAAAAGCGCGGTTCTGGCACAAGCCGGTGCCAACATTGCAGTTGGTCTCATCACACTCGTAAAGCATGATTCTGTTCTGGCAACTCTCCCCGCACCCGTCTTCCGGGGTGCATACGCACTTGGATTGATAGTCCTTGAAGTGGGGTGTCTTCTTCCAGTAAGCCGCAGCATCACCAACGAATCGATCTAAGAAAATGTTAGGTAAAACTGACTCAAAAGATGAAATATAATAAGAGTGTTTTTTTTTTAAAAAAAAACCCCCCAAGTAAGCAGAATATAATGCGAAAATAACGAAATGAATAAATAGACTTACTCTTCGTTATCTTCTTCCACTCGTCGGGTTTAGGCTGTCCAGGGGGAAGAGGGTTGCAGATGTCAAAAGGCAGCTTAAAATCCCTGCCCTGGATCAATGTGCGCATCCCATTGTATATAGGCATGGGCATAGTACTGTTTGCCTTGCCGCTCGGCATCAGCTCGGGCAATTGCGCTAAGCTCTTCTTCTCTGACGGAGTGAGTCCCTTGTAGATATCTAGCGGGGCCTCCTGGCCAGCGTATAGGCCGCGATCAAGGTATTTCTTAACCCGTCTCTTCTTAACAGCCGGGCCAAGCTCAACAACAGGTTCGGGCTCTGGAGCGGTAACCTCTGGCGTCTCGGATGCAACCTTCATCCTCTTTCTGGGGGGTTGCGAATCCTCGGGAGAAATGTACTTCCCGTTGGCCCAGGTGGTGTATAGGACAGGCTTCTTATCTATTCCTGCAAATTCGTCTGTGTCCTGCAGACGTCGTAGCTCACGCGACATCTTGCTCAGACCCTTCTCAAAAGTCTTCCTACCCCTCTTTCCTAGAGTAGATAGCTTGCTCGCCAAGGTTTCGGCCTCCACGCCTGTTGAACGCGTCGAAATGCGTCTCGAGGGAACCGCATCTTTCAGCGTAGAAAGCTTAGATTTGGTCGACTTCATAGAGATCGCATCGTCGTCGGTGTCCTCTTCGTTTGCAACCAGAATCTCACCGGCAGTTGTGTGGCGTCGCTTTCTGTTAGATACGATGTCGCCTTTGGATCGTCGCTTGCCGTGGATAGCAGTACCAGCTAATTTGGCAAGGTTGTAGATTGGCGCGCTAAGGCGCTGTCGGCGCGAGCGTCCGTTCATAGGTGTGTCTAGAGCGGTTTGCGCAGGGGATTCGGAAGGTTGAACGGGGTTCAGAGGCTCGGCAGACGCGACAATAGAGTCGGCTACCTCGGGCGTCGCGTCGACCTCGGTCGAGTCAACTGGTTCGTTAACAAGGCCAATTGCTGTGACATTGTCGCTCTTAGAGATATCTGAAGCCAAGCTGGCTGTGTCGGCGACAGTAGTTGGAGGCGTAGAGCTAAGAGACGCGGCTGCAGAGAAGGTGTCTGCGGCAGGACCGAGGCTAGACTCCGAAGAGAGTGCGCGCGTCGGAGACATGGTTACAGGTGAATCCATAGTCGAGCGACGCGACAATGGAGCCGGCAGTTCGGCCAAATAATAGTTTGGAAGAGATAACGACGCGTCAGGTATGTGGTTGTTTTGGGAAAAGACCAGTAATGGCGGAAAGAAGAGTTATGTAAGGCAATGTTGTAAAAAGGTAATGGTGTTGTGGTGGTATGGGTATGAAGGGTATGAAGGGTGTGAAGGAAGTAAGGAAGTATGAGTAAAGCGTAAATGTACCGTAGTACCCCGTAATACCCAAATCGAATTGGTCAATGAATTGGATCAAGGTTTAGTTTTAGTTTAGTGTTGGGGTGAGAATAGAAAAGGTAAAGAGTAGTAAAAGGGTAAAGGCCAATTAACTTGGGCCAATGACTGAGCTTATCTGCGACCTTGGTCGCTTCCCACTTTGGTTATTAAGTACTCGAGTACCTATGTATGCAAGACCGGTCGCGTTTTGCAGCACGATCAAGGAAAATACCAAAGGTGGTTCTTGAAGATGCCTATATATGTTAGAATGTGAGGCCCAAGGGTGCATGTGTAAAACAGAAAGCTGTAAATGGGACTAGGTTATTACTCACTTGTGTGTGCTGGTAGGTTCCTGTTCGCGTGTTTCGTGATGGCGTTTCCGATTCCCTTCTTTTTTTTTTTCCCCTGAGGAACGAAGATCCGAAGGATTGTAGGTTCCAAGAGAACGTTGTCCTATTCTCTAGGAGATAAAGTCAGTTTCGAAAAACTTAAAGGTTGGTGGCTGGGTTGAAGAAACGAGTGTTCACGAAGTTGGTGAATGATTGAAGTTGTAAAGTGGAAGATTTGGGTGGTTGTGGTAAGGAGGTTAGAAGGTTGGAGATGAAAGAAAGGGAGAGAGGGGGAAATTTTGAACACTGTGGTTGAGATGGACACTAGTAACCTAATAGTTGCGGTTTGCAGTTGCGGTAGTACTTACGTATGCAATGGATGGATGTATTATCAAAAAAGTTGAGAAGACAAGGTAAGGTAAGGAGGTAGTCAGGTACCAAGTATTGTTGCCTCAGCTGTTTTAACAAATGGCGATGCAGTGTGCAGAAGGGAAAAAAGGTGATGCGGTTGGGGAGTACGGTGTGCGGTGTGTATGTGTGTGAAGAGATGAAGAAGGATGAAAAAAAAAGAGAGAGAGAGAAGAAAAGTAGAGATGGATTACGTGCAAGATGAGAATTGGATCTAAATTGAAAAATCGGGGAGGAAAGAGACGGAGAGACTCAACGTGGCACTGGCGTTCAAAGGTAAATTACTACATATATAACAAAAAATGGCTGGGGGGGGTTAAAAGTTAAGGTTGATAGCTCAACAAGGCATTTAAGGGTATTTTTAAGGTATTAATTATTATTTGTTGCCTTTTGCGCAGATAACACGCCAATGCCAATACTTAAGCCAATACTTAATGCTAACAATATTTCCCTACTATCTATTCCTACTTACCTAAAGGGAGGTTATGTGGTTATGTACACCCAGGGCCAGCCACATCCTTCGGATTACATAGTCCGACATATCCGTTGGCCTCATCAGGTTTCCTCTGTGACTTCATTATGCCATCTAGATGCCCCTTGCTGCGGCTGACTGACCGACTAACCACTTGCCCGCCCGTAGTCTCACCACCGCTAGCTTCGAACCACAAGCCAACTTGCTATCATCATCCTTGTGACTATCCATGACCTTCAGAAACTTAATCTATAGGCCCCCTCCCCTCTCGAGAAAGGGGATGCTAAATCTGCCAACACCACTCGTCTTTAGGCAACGCCATAGAACGATAAGACTACTAGGCTTCGATATGCCTCGCACGAGGACGGGCACTCTTCCGACTTTTACCGTGTATACCTGATTAGGGGGAATATTGTGTATATATATCTGAGTCGCCTTTTAGGCAGCGACGACGAGCATGTCAATTCTACCAGCATTGCTCTTAAAGTCGTCTCTACAGCAAGTCTGTCGATGTAATTATGTGACATGGTATGGCTGGGAGAAATAATCGCCATGTCGGGTAGGCAATCTGATCTCTACTGTACGATGGACTCCTCCTCGAATTTTGGACAATCTCCATCGGTCACCATCCCAGGTCACCGGGGAGCGGGGAGCGGAGGATACGAGTGACGCCTCTCGATAAGATGCGGGTATGTCACTCGAAGGCGGTTCTCAACCTCGCGCAGCTACACATTTGCTCAGCATCCCAAGAAATCCATCACAGACCATATTTTTACATTAGTCGTCGAAATCGAGGGGATACAGTAGTTGTGGTGAGTATTAACCGAGTGTCATCCCAGGGAGACCTCTCACGCTGATTTAGTTAGTTGAGGGTGTAGATCCCGGACGTGTCTAATATCATGCCGCTCCTCCGATCTTTAGCCTCAACAAAGCCATCGTCAGGGGCAATAATAGTCTAACAATCCCGCCAACGATCTCGTTTGGCCCCATTAAGAATATCTAGAATATGTTGTTTGGCCGTATGGTGCTTAAGATGCATTCACGTAATCTCCTCTCGTATATTCCGACCTCTTCATCCACCGGATCGACCTATTTCTGCGATCGCTAAACAGATGGACTAGTGTAATCGAAAGCACAGAGTTGTAGTTCAACGTGTTTGGACGTCACATGATTGATTCCTCCTTGAACCTCTCCTTTCGTCTCTCCATATGTGCCCATAGGTCACTCTACATGGAACCTATATCATAATACGAACACTTGTCAATATCATATCAAGGGTTAATATAAAGTAATATGCTATTATAGATCGATCTAGTAGACCATTCTACTGATATTCTCCTTCGGCCAGATAATCACCGTGGCACTGCGCCTAGATAGGCTAGAAAATCCTAATCAGCATTGCGATAGAGGATTAAAATCGGGCTTCAGATGGGTTATCACGATATTTACGCAGGACGCTAGGTCTACGGGCTTATGCTATTATCATATGACTCGTTTATAATAAAATCGGGAATATCGTGTACGTGTGAAGTCGGGTTGCCTAGGCGTCAGCTTTGCATCAAACAGAAATCTTATAGATAGCGGGGTAGGGAGGTGGACTGGCTAATTGACTTGGTTGGGAGCTCGGATAGGTTCCTTAATAGGTATCTTATGTACTTTCGTTTATTAGAATAGTAGCGGCAGACTCCCGATGATGACGAGCCTCGATGTTGTATGTTCCTAGGATACTCGTCCCGGGGTGGTATGTACCTGTGCGGTGGAGTGGTTACCGTGGACTACGTGGTCATCATATATCAGCAGGTATCACCAAAGCGATTAGAAATTAGGCCGTCGGAAATTCCAAAAGACCGCATTCATTCGAGATCCTTTTGGTCCATGTGCGATCTAAAAGACCTAAAACCTCGGGTTCCCTTAACCCCTGTTTCCAGCCCAGACCGATGCCGAACAATTCAACCACAAGTGGTGATACTCTGTTGCTGAGGGCATCGTGACGCCGGAAGTGACCCACGTAGATAAGACGTAAGGATAAGCGCAACTACCTACGATTCTTGTCCTTCTGGAATATTTTTTCTTACATTGATGTAAACCTCCTTTAGTTACAGTAATTTGACTCCCTCTGATAGCTATAACTGACTCTCATTATCGAGTTCCTCTTTCCATCCTGTTCGTCAACACTCGTCCCGTTTTTCTTACTATCGATGTTTTTCGATATGCCGGTATGGACCATCTTCTGACTGGGCTTTAGTTCCACCGAGTTCACCGTGACTCTAGGGAGAGTGTTATCCGTGGATGGACTTGGTGGATTGACATGTACGGGTCATAGAGCCTGCCAGTCTACACGGCTGATAAACAACCATAGCACTTCCGAAACTACGCGCTATAACACTCGAACTAGTAAAAGATGGAAGTATCGCCATAATTATCGTATCATTATTCCATACATCCTCCGTTTACGCCTGCAGAGGTGACTAGGTCTTGACAGTCGATCTTGGGACCAATGGTGACCCCCAAGAAAACGACAGGCAAGTCTTAACCGGAAATTTCCCCGTAAAGTGATAAATACCCATTCAACAATCTGAGATATTGTCAATAGTATACCTAGGCCGATAGCAGAGGTCTTGATACCACGTGCGCTATCGCATGTCTATATCCGGCCGTCCTCTCTCTCTCTCTCTCTCTCTCTCTCTCTCTCTCTCTAGGCGAACGCATATCAATAGTCTAATCCTCCTCACCCGGAAAGCACCAGCTCAGGTAGCCCTATGAAAGCACCGTCTTTCTCCCAAACCTACCTCAAAGTTCCATCACGGCCATTATAAAGTTCGAGAGTTATGACTTATCAAAGCGATCAAACCCTCCCCGCTCTCCTATGTTAATGAACCACAGGCCTCTTCATACCCAACCGAACCGCTGAGCAATATCTCAAACCTGCTCTACTTTACCTATGGTCATAGCAAACTGTCAAAATCTTTAACTAATATAATAGGCATCTTCTAAAAGGGGGGGGCTCTGTTACCGTATGCATGCCTGTACGTAGTCCTCCAATCCACCCAACTCTTTAATTAAACGCATTGCTTACGACGACTACTGGGATCGCTTAGGAATGGAGGGATGGAAGTATTGTATTGTACAGTGGCAATACGGTGCGGCGCTTAGAGCACCCTGGAGCTAGCGCACTGCAGCACGAGGATAACAGTATACGCCAATACCCCTTTTATGACACGACTGGGAAATGTACTTCAGACGATATCCGAGCGGACTGTGATAAGCGAGATGATATTCACGCTAAGGGGAGGTGAGAACGTATTGTCTTTAGGTGTATGTCATGGCTAGGTACATACCTACCTACGATAGCATGGATACCTCATATTTGACTGGGGTTATATCTTGAACCGCACACGAGACAGGGCACGCGTAAAACCAGGTTTAAGGCATATACAAAGTTGCATAACCGTTATTGTTCTATAGGTATCAATTAAGCATGAAAACTAATGCGACTATCTGTGAAGAATCAACGCGTCTAGACAGTTACATACAATGCCCTCATGTTACGAGACAAATCAAAGTCATCTTCAGTCCTCTTGTATGCCGGCTCCGAAACTATGCTGACCGCGCCCGCCTGTGATATGTACTGTTGACTGAGAGAAAAGAGACCAGAAACACCGGGGAGAATACTCCTATCCATGCAATTGTGGGAATCTGACGCGAGTCTATCGTAATAGAATATTGTTACAGTGTTATGCGCATGTTGTATGTTGTACTCGGAAAGGCGTAAGAGATATCTCGGATATCGGGAGCTGGTGAGTTAAATGTTCGTAGTATCATTAGTCATCTCCATGACCTCACCATCATCGGCTGCCGCCTCATTATCAACGGGGCCACCGCCATCCGAAAACTCAGAAGCACTCCCGCCATTCTTAGCCTGGTTCTCCATGGCGAACAAGCGAGCAGCTCTGCCCTCCTTCTTGCGAGGTTGGGGAGCTAGGCCACAGAAGTTAGTCGGCGATATTGACATTGTTGACATGTGACTACTGGAGAGTACTTACCTCGACCATTCTCCTGGACATAGAATCGTCGGAGTAGTGAGACAGCCTCGTCACGAAGATAACCACCTTCGACCGGATATCCAGGTTCCACATTGCCGCCGTCACCGTCATCCTCATCTCTCGGGATGGGAGTAGCTTTGCCTTGGCAGATACGACTGGCGTCTTGAGGACCATATCCATTTTGATAGGGACGGTCTGCTGGCTTCGGAACGGGCTTGGAGTTTTGGTGGATTTTGAAAACGCCTCCGGTCCCACCAAATTTATCATTGACAGCACCAAAATATACCTTCTTGATGCCTAGTTGGCGAAGAAGAGAGGCACACATGACGCAGGGCTCAACCGTAACGTAGAGAACACACTCGGATATGATGCTGCGACTAATCGCCGGGGCAGGATGGAGCTTCTGGCCATAAGGATAGATATGACTGTCTGTCGGATCTACATCCTCCCAGCTAGGATCATCCAGAGCTGGGCTGGTGCCAACTTCTTTGACATCTTCAGGCCCTTTCCGGGAAAGTAGGGCAGACAAGGCCATAAATTCAGCATGACGAGTCCCATTGCGAGTAACGTTTGTCGCATTCATTCCTTTAGCAATAACTTTTCCATTATGGACCAAGACACAGCCTACTGGCGTCTCGTTGGTATTTAGAGCTAGATTACCCTAATAGTTTTGTTAGCTAGTCTGTAGATATAAGGGAAAGATCAGATGCCAAATGAAAGAGAATCTTTACCATAGCAAGTGCCTCTTGCATCAAGTTGAGATGGTACGCCCGCTCAACTCGTCCCTCCTCTGTCTTGGGTTCGACTAGTCCAGGTAGACTAGGAACTGGAGGTGAAGGAGATTTCGGAGCAGCGGCCTTATCAGTGGGAGGTAAGGCAACCATGATCGGAGCGGCTAAGGCATTAGGAGCGGCCGCTGCAGAAGCATGTCCCGGCTCAGGGGGCTGTCCACTACCGGAAATATCATCAAGGGTAAGACAGTTAATTCCGGAGGCGACCTCTTCGACTTGCGTATTCTGGGGAGTATTATCTTCCATTGCAGACTTGTTAGAAGAAACAAAGGCTGCGGTGACGTGCTGGCTGCGGGTACCCGTTTTCTGGACTTGAACCCGGCCCTCCGCAAGGAGGGGCTTTGGGGTAGGCGGCTGAGATTGGGAGACGGTGGACGACAGATTGTGAGGGGGAGCATTCTCTCTTCTACTGTCGACAAGGGGACTAGGAGGTGGAAGGCCACGGCTTTGGCCGCCTATTTTAGCTCCGAGTGGCTTTTGACTATCGGGTTGATGAGAGTTGACTTTAGTGTCACCTTGATTCGCAACGGGAGCAACACCGACCTGTCCAAGAGGCGACGCATGGTTTTGGCTAGATGTAGGTTTGTTGGCGACGATGCTGCTGTTTGATTGAGTAGTGGTAGGAGCATTAAGGGCATTAGAAGCATTAGGACCAGCAGACTTTGGACCAGAACCTTTGTGGCCGCCTCGCTTTTGGCCACGTTTCTTAGACTGCGCCATGGTATCGTCTTGGGATGAAGAGTCCAGACCTTGTTCGAGATCTATGAAGGAAGAGTTTTGATGTAGTTGGGAGGTTTGGGTGTAGGGAGAAGGTGAATATAAAGAGGAATCTGGCTTTTTTTGCTCTGTTGAAAAGTTTGAGTTTAGTGAATCTGAGCGTGTTGAAGGTTGTGGATGTGTTGATGCTTGTTGCTGCGTTGTCCGGCCTGAGTCAGGTGTCGAGTTGAAGGGAAAGAAGCGGGCGTAGAGTTGGATGAAAGACGCAAACAGCGCCTGCCAGGTCTGCCAGAGGCTCGCGGCGTAACCTAAGATCTTGTGTCCCGCCATTGTTTCCTCCTTCCCGTGCTTTCCTTATGATACTTTTAATTCTTTAGGTAAACTTAAATCGATAAAAAATACCGCCAATTACTACAACTTCCTACCCAAATAAAATAAAATGTTCGTGATGCCGTCACCACTAGCTGAGCCGAATGCCGAATGAGATAAGCAGCTAATCATGAGACGAAGCAATGCCGACCGCCAATGAATGGTAAGGCAAGACCTGCATAAGCCTCCTTGTCCCGTGTAAGTCAATCAGGGAGGTAACATCTCTTTTGGTGAGTTGGTGAGAGCGAGCGATGTTAGTACCTACAAAAGGATTCAGGATCCTAAACGAACGTGCATCTATGAAATCGCTATATCGCTATATCGCTATGTCGCTATGTCGCTATATCGCTATGTCGCTATATCTCTTCCTTACCAGGCCATCTCCATGTCGTTAGAGGATAGGACGAGGTAGCACATCTATGAGAAAGCCGTGAGCTATGATGCAGGCGAGTAATCATGACTGAGCTGAAGTTAATAGGTGAAAAAAGCTATTTTATATATCACGACAAGGCAAGATGTCGCAGCGGCGCGGCTGAGAATTTTCTGCCGCTTGGGATAAATAAAGCAGCTAATTGCCTAACTCGCGCTAGTTTGTTACTTACAAAGGGCTACCTAACTACATAAGATCTAAACCTTACCATAGAAGGTAAGGTGTGGTATCTTTAGCCCGAGCGGGAACGTCCCGCAATACAGGTACCTAATGTACCTCTAGTAATAAATTGGTGGGGATTAGGTAATTCATAGGTACCTAGGTACATAATTACCTCCTACGTGAGGCCTTGTAACGAAATATCATAGCAAAATATAACTTCAAATAATAATCGTGCTTTTACGAAGTCACTTTTTACTCAAAGTTACCTACCTAATCTACAAGAGTAAAGATTAAGTCAGGATTTTGAAAGGGTTATTTATGTTACTATAACAATTAAATTTTAGTGTATTGACCTTATACAAGGTAGGCTATTAAGAATTGACATGTCTTCTAAACCTTACCTTTACTCAGTCGTCGCTATTCTCAGATTTCCGGGGTGTCAACGAGAAATCATGAAACAGCAACCTTCACATGGCCTAGCAACACAATGCATGTCACAATATCGCATGTCACAATATCATTGAGAGCCGACAGTATTCACAAAAAGCGGTTAAGTGTCATATTGGTCTAAGTAGGCGCGGAATACACTACCTCTCATAGATCGTTAGCTGGTCCGACCCTCAACCACCTTCCTTCCCTTAACTACCTAACATGTATGGAGCTAGAAGCCCACTCCGACTCCGAATCCACCACCATCTGTTTCTAACCTGGGGTATCATATTTAATGTATTTTTCCTGACAAGCGCGACCAAGCGCTAATCATAACAGTATGTAGTAGAAATGATTTATATGGCGAGAGATACCATCATCAGACAAGACTTGTCATGCGGCGCATGCGGTAGCCCAAGGCCTTAGTCTTCCTAGATGAGTGCAGGGAGAAGTTGCTTTCGAGGTTGGTGCGCACCCGGGAGATGTCTTCTGATAGTTGAGAGTATCTTGACTTGACGGTGTTTGTACCAATGGCGAGTCGTCTCGGGAAAGGAAGAACTTGTGTGGCCAGATCCAGCATGCTCATACCATGTTGCCTCAACATAGTGTAAGCGACAGCAACGGATAAAGACCCCACGAGGATCCCGGTGGTTTGAAGTTCTCCAGCTTTATTGCTAAGAAGTGTCCACTGACGAAGCACGCTCAAAGATGCATATGCAAACACTAGTAGGCACGCTGCCACTGCATTCGCAATTATCTTGGACCAATTCTGCATATCCGACCTGGTTTGTGACTGTGACGTGTTTAAGGATGCTGAAAGGAGCTGCCTCCTTTCTACATAGTTCTTTCCGTTATCACTCAAAGAGAGCACTGTCTGGCTCGTCTTAGACAAGGAAGCGGATGGAACAGCTGCATCAGAAACACCACCATTCTCGGCAACACCCAAGGCTGAGATATTCTGGGAAGCCGGGTTGGAAATGCTGGACGAAGGACGTGTGGGTGCATCCCGGGCATTTGGATCTGGTCCTGCGACAGAAGACCAGGAAGACGGTATATTTTGAGACAAAGAAAATGCAGTGACTGTATCTACTGTGCGGCGCTCGGCGAGAGTAGAATATATCGGTTCTCCGGTATTGATAGTAGTCGTGTTCTGCAAACATCTTAGCCTCGGGCCACGATTGAATACATAATAGGAATGACTTACGGTTTGTGGAAGTTTGCCGGGCTCGCGACGTGACTGGCTTGTCGAAGACAATTCTGTCATGGCCTCGAGTGCTGCTGAGCTCATAGATGTGGTACACCACGTACCACTACTACTCGTCAGCATAGCAACCGAGTCTTGCCGACTGTGCCATTCTGCAAGGTTCTGACTGGCTTTTCTTAGACCGGTGGAAGGTGAAGATGATCCAAGCTGAGATTCGTGTAGTCGAGAGGATGGTACGCCCACTCCAGTTGGCAATGGTGAGGTCCACGGTTGCGGCCGTGGTTCGCCTGTCCTTACTGGTGTTAATGGGTTTGGTAGACCTGGTGGAACTGGAACGCGCGACCCGGATACTTGGCTAATCTGCCCGCTGTCACCCTGTGCTACAACAAGGGATTGGATCGGAGCGTCGAATATTCCCTCGTGGTATGATGATGTATCTAGGCCGGTTGGCAGTGATGCCTGTTCTCGTGAGACGGGTGATACTTGGTGATCTGCATTTACAGATACATCTAGTTGAGCATCCCGATCCCGGTCTTGGTCTTGGTCTGTAATATTCTTCCGCCTGTGGAAGTCAAATAGTTGTTGATTGTCTAGGCGTCTTGAACTCTCAGGTTGTGGCAATGCTGCAACTTCCTTACTTAGGCTAGGGTCATCATCTAGGTAAACTGAAGAACCTGGTGAGTATAGGTTGAAGTCGGCGTAATTGTTGCCAGCCTCGCCACCTGGGTTTAGATAAGGTGGTAGTACTGCCTGGGCATCTTCTGTTAGACCAACTGCCGTGTTCTCGAGGCCTGCCATTTGAGCTGGAGTAATTGGTTGAGATGGCGACGAGTATGAGTTGGATGATGTTGGTGTGAGGTGGCCCGCAGGGTCAAAGAAGAAGTCGTAGTCGTATGGAATGGCCTCGAATGGCTCCTCGTCGTACTGAACGAACTGATCCCAGTCCATAGTAGGATCAACTAGCGACTCCGACATGACGGAGTCAAAAGATGAACCAGATAAGTGTGCAATGTCGAATGATGGCATATATAAAGGTTGCCCTGAAGATTCTAATGTTGTTTGTGGTGGAGGTGCCGATGCTGGGACGGACGGTGCAGCGGTCTTCTTCGTCTTCTTGGCTGTTCTGGCTGCAGAAGAACCGGACGACCGCTTGTGACTCGGGTCACAACGCACCTTCTTTCTCCGGCAAGAATCGCAAGCCTTGATGATACGCATTAGGTGGGCGTGGTCACGTTGCTCTTTTGTTTTGCAGCCACGGGAAGCCGAATTGGTGACGTCCTTTCCATCCTTGGTTAAAATCTTCATACCAGGAAGATGTGAGAAATCATTGGATAGAGCCGTGTTCTTGGGAGACGGCTTTTGGGTCCTGTGTTCGCTAGACGAAGAAATATTGCTAGCTTGAGTCCATTGGCTCTCGGACATAACAGGAGATGTGAAGTTGGAGACGTAGCCGGAATCAGCCAAGGCTATACTAGGCGATTCAGTAGCAGAGCCAAGGGCAGGGTAAACCATGAAGAATTTGAAAAGTTCGCCGGTCGCCATGCTGTGCTCGAAGAATTCCATAGAGACGGTAGCACGCTTATCGAGGATTGAAGCATCCCCAGGAACATAAGCGTCGATCATCTCGTCCAACTGCTTGGACCCCATGGCAGGGAAGAACTGCAAAGGGGCGCCAATGGCAGGCTGATGGACAGAGAAACCCATAAGGGAAGTGGAAGAGTTGATACCGGACATATACGACATGTTGTTGTTGGTTACGCGATTAGCGATGCCGAGGGAATGGATACGATGCAGGTTGGTCAGATTGGCGACTTGGCGATTTGGTGGCTTCGAGCAAACGTGGGTTTACAGGTAAGCACCAAGTTCCGTCGTAAAAGGTGATAAGTAACGCCAACTCCGATGTGGGTTGGATAATATAGCTACAATTCGGGTATAATGATAATAATAATAACAGTATAAAAGCGAAGTAGGCTAACGGAAGGGGAGGGATGTTAACCGCCAACGTTTGATAGTATGGATAGGTAGTATGGTGGTGGGAGTGGAAACCTGCTTTCTGAGTCTAGGCACCTAGGTCGACGATGTCTAGCTCAAAGAGTCAGGGGGTAAAGAGTGTAAGTCTTCGAATATTTCGAAGTAAAAGGTTGACAATAGTCAAATGGTATGTTTTGAGACCTAGGTAGAGTCTACTACTATAATCAGATGTGAAGAGATGGGAAAAGAAAAGAAGAAGGAATTTCGAATCTCGGGAGGGAGTCACAGGATGATATTTCACTTCTGACGGTCCTAAAGCTTTCGTTACTATGTATACAATACAATTAGTGCGTGCAAAGCCTCAATTCATCACCAGCAAAGAATGGCGGAGCAAGGTTTTGAGACCCACCACGGCGAAGAAGTAGATCGACCGCTTAACCAATCACCGTGGTTTTTTAGTGGGCACGAGCCTTCCAACTCTCAAGTACTCCGCTCCATAATCTGTTAGTGTTTAGCTGGAACAGTTACCTAAATAATAACAGTGTCAGATACCTGTCCCATTTCAGCTGGGGAAGGATGCGTGGGAGCCTGAGGCATCCATCGGCAAGACCAAACAGGTGGGTTGACTCATTCGAGAATTGGCCAATTACCAATTATCTAACCCCTCCTAAATTAAGACGAGCTCTCCTTCATTTTAGAGGTATTTCAATGCGAGTTCTTTGGTGTCGTAACGACTATGCTACTAATATGCCATTACACAGTACAATTATTACAATTATTACAATTGCAACCTCGGCACTCTTGAAACCTGATTGACCTATTCTCGGTGTTTTTCCTTTCGTTTATTGATTTGTTGTGTTGATATCTGAGAATTCGTGTACAAATCAACATCTATGTAAGTGGCTTCCCCGTCAATAACCCCACTAGATCTTCTCGCAGATCTGGGTAGTGGAGGCCGGGAGGCTAACGTTGCACAGAATACCTGCTTTATTATACATACATAGTATAATAGACCCGCCTAATTATCCCCGAGAATACACGACACCCGACTTAAGTGTAAATAGGTATTTGGCCTATACTAACTACATGTACTTCATACATGGAGTTAGGCACCTGTCGTATGTGCCGAGTAGATACTTGCATATGATACGTAACTATAGTATGACTCGACTCGATCGAAGCAAGACTTCCGATACGCATACTAGATAACGAATACTACTTATAAATCTATACTCGAAGGCGTATACGAATGCATGAAATCGAGGTACGTAAGTGACTAGAAAAAGTGAGTAATAGTTTACTGCTTTACGAGAGTTGGTATGCGCACCCCTACCGAAAACTGTCAGTGTATTCTGTTAGTGTATTATTGTAGCTTGTGTATATAGATTATATATAGCCATGTAGGCCCGAGGACGTCAACTCGTAAATATCTCCTAAGATCGAATATCCAAAATGCCGGTCATTTAACACCAGATACTCACAAGCCGTGAGTGTATCCATACCGACGCCTAAGAAATGAAAAGGGTATCAATGCCAAATATGCAAAATAGTGTTGCTCGCCCATACTCCGTAAGAAGTAATAGTGAACTTTAAGGAAATCATTTCCTGTAATGATAAATGATATAATGCGAATCATCCTTTACAACTTGTAGCAGTGACGGCTGGTTATGCTGTCATCAACGTATTGAAATGATGCCGTATAATAAAACCTTCGTCGCTAGGAAACTGGCCCCTACGATGCTGGCGGCGGTGATCTCGATGGATGGGCTACAACCTGTTAGAATTGCTACTAGCAGCTTAGGATATTTATTTACTAACCTCGTTGAAAACCCGGGACCGAGCCCGGTCCTTCAATGACCATGTCGCCACGAACCCAATCAAGACTAATATTAGAGACCACCAACTAAATGCGTCCGTGTTAATTGCGCGAGGTTGTAATGGATCTGACACAGTAAAATGACTACTTTCTCGTATAATAGTGGTCAATAAGGGTACGATGATTGAGAGGAGATGGCTAATGGGTAACTTGGCAAAAGACAGTAAGCGTATAGGGCATTGGCGGGGTGATTTGCACCTAGTGTAGTATTTCCGAACAGGGCGGAGGGGTTTTCGTGGGGGATTGCCGCAGTCCGTGAGGGGAGTGGAGGAATCACTACTGGTTTCCCACTTAGCACTATGGTAATACGGGTGTTCATGCGGGTTCCTGGCACCGAAATGCGATCCGTATCCGTTGTTCGAGGCCCCTCCACCAAGCCATGGCTGGTTTCCTTCGGGTTGAAAGCTCCAAGAATAACCAGCTTCAGACTCGCTAGATTGGGTCAGGGCTACCGCCGACCCTGCGACTGATTCATCTCTCGTGGAACCGTAATACCATCTCTGGCAAGAAGAACCTAAGCAGCTCTCCCTGGTACATCGGAATGGGGATAGAGGGGACTCTAAGTCATTAGGAGCTCGAGCTCTAGCACGGCAACGCGTGCACACGAGCCAGAAGCGTGGATTGACATCATGAAAGGGATGATGTTTTGTTCGAAAATGGTTAGACAGCTCCCGGAACGGTCCTGTCCAGTGACAGGTTTCCGAGGAAGTCTCCGACGCAGTATCTATCGAACCCCTATACTCGCATCGCCAGCGATTTGGATACATCTCCATCTGGCTGCCAATCTCGAGAAATTCGAGCTGTATATGCCCATCCGGTGATTGCGTACCCATATCGTTACCTGGGTGGTATGTTTGTCCCGGGGCTTGGAGCATCGTGCTGTCTAGATGCACCGAGTCGGCATCGAATCCGCTCACAATTTGCTGTACATCTGAGCGGACAGCCTCGTGATCTCCAACTGAGGATTGCAGGTCAATGTCGTTCAATATGGAGTCTTGCTCTGATGACGCCATCGCAGCCCCGCCAGCACCAAACGTATTCCAAGTTCGTTCTATCGGCGTGAGCGACATAAATTCGGTTCGGCCATGCAGCCTGCCATGACTAGGGGATTGCGAGAGCAGCGTGTTTTGGTAACCTTCTTCTAGAAGACAGAAATCATGGCAATCGCACTACAGGTATTTGTTAGTACAATTGCAATGATGCGATGTCGTTGATGACTTTACTGTTGTTTTCTTAGCCCGATGATGCGGGCAAGCAAGCTTGAGCTTCCGTTTGAGTGCAGTATTCAACCTAGTACGTGAATTCAGCGGTCCTCTCCTCCTACCTCGCTGACGTCTGGATCGATCTGCATCCTGCGTCGTTACATCTTGGGTGGAAGGCGTGCCAGGCTCGTCTGTTGGCGAATGAATAGTACTACCAATAGACGGAGCTGCTTGGGGAGGTAGCAAGTTCTGCTGCGAGACGACATGAGTTTGTAGGCGCAAACGTTCAAGCGTCTGCCGAATATCATTATAGATCCTCTGGTTCTCGGGGGTTGGTTCGACAATAATTCTAGAAACATGGCGCGATTCATAGCCTCTGGAAGTCTGATTAGGCGAAGTCATGGTCGAGTTGGCACAAAGTGTGTGTCGAGTGCCTAGTTACGGAGTAGCAGACAGCCTTGTAATGGGTGGTGAGGCCTGCCAGTACATTTACCTGGTAAGGTAGAAATGAAGCCGTGCAGGGCAGCAGGGCAGCAGGGGCTTAATGTTATGATAGAACAAACAAGGAGATAAAATTCAACGTGATAAAAGTCTAGATAGGTAGTAGTAGACTAGTAGGCTGGCTGTGTATAGTGATGGTTGGGATGGAAGACACGAGATAGGGCTGGGCATAATATTTGAGGGACCGATCCGGGGGGGTATTCAAGGACATACCTACCTGGGTATACTATGTACACCTGCTGTAACAATGTACGTATATGTGTAGCAATGAATGCACATACTGCGCCTAGTTGAGGCTGACGAGGAGGCAGATTTTTTTATTTACAAAACCCTCCACATCGGAGCGCAGCGCCCACATGAGCTCTCTATGCTGGTGCACTTACCGATCATTGGATTTCGCTTAGCTGGGGAAGTAGTGCGTCATCTTCCAACCATGAATACTTCTTCACGGGATCCTAGCTATATACCATATCTAGCCAATGCTATTTGGCTATAGGTAGGAATGTAGTAGAGACGGATCCATCTTGGACATCAAATATCTCTCTCCTTTACCAAACTTTCGGTGAAGCAAAATCAATAATTGTCGTTCTGGCGCTGACAACAGCGTTTTTTAGATGTGTGAAGCAAGAGATTCGATTCGAGCGGGGAAATGGAGGATTTTTTTTCTCTCTTCTTTTTTCCCTCTATGAATCCCAGCTACAAACGCAGGTAAGACCCCACCTACGTAGGTAGCTATGCGGTTCTTTACAGCAGTGTAGGCTAGAGCACTAAAGTGGTAAGGGTCGGCTTGACACGTAGCATGTCGTCTGAGCATCTGCGCTTAAGGTTGAGCCAACGCGTTGCTTTATGATGTTCCTCGTGGCTTTCTACAAGTTGCCCTGTCGGTCGACAGAACTATACGGGCAAATTAGCAAAATTTGCTACCATCAACTGCCATTGCGACTTGGCCTCGGGAGATACAAATTCCCAATTGACTTTTAGCCCTGCTGTAAGTATTGCACACAACGTAAACAGGCGTAATCCTAGCTTGCATTTGTCGGTCATACACTATTTCCCCCCTCTCCCAGAGCCGCCCGGATCAGAGAACTCGCAAAAGGGTTACATTCGCACACCCTACGCTGGGCGTGTAAATTCAAACAGATCATAGGCTTCCCTGCTCCATGGTCCTCCGTTCGCTCTGGCAAATACGGGCATCGCCGCAACAGAAGCTTTGCGTCGGACTTTTGATGTAGTCTTCTGTTCGTCGTGTTCATGCCTCTTAGTATCTGGCGGTCTTCCCAATGCCACTTCTGACGGCAATGGACATTGCGGAACATGGCCGGCAGCATCCGAAGGCTTGGCAGCCTTCTTCCCTCGGGTGGCGGGGTTGACCACCATCTTAGCAGCAGATAGCCGCGTCGCCGCAGTGTCGTCAGATAAAGCCTGCACGTCTGAGTTCCCGCTGACTCGGGCTGACGTGGGTCTGATTTGCTTCTGCGGAAGACACGAAATCGCTTCGAGATCAACCGCACCTATGTTGCGGTCTTCGACAAACTCGGGGGGGACACCGTTGCTCACCGCCCTTGTTTCCTTGGCTAGAGGAGGCTGCGCCGCCGAGTGGTTCGCGGAAAAGCCGCTAGCGAGACTTGCCTTACCATATTCACCACCCTCATTCCGTTGTGGCCCGCTATCAATTTCTTCGTCGAAAAAAAAACCGATCACCTCTTTGCTACGTACGTTCCTGCGGCCTAATTGAGCAAGGCGAGGAGCAGGAACGTCGTCGGGCAAAACCAAGTCATCTTCGTTAGTCATGATCTGGTTCTCGGTATCCTTTTCCGTTATTGAATGGGAGTCTACACTATCCTTGGTTCGAAGTTTTTTCTTCTTCCTAGATGAGTCGCTTCTGCTTCTTGAAAGCTTAGTCGCTTCGGTTAGAACACCGTGCTCGTGCTTGGAGCTAGATGTCTCGTCATTCGTTTGATCGTAATAAGCACACGTTCCCATATCTTTAAAATATTCTGTCTGAATTTCAGGATTCGAGATAGCTGGATCATCTTCACTGTGCTTCGCACTCTGTATTTTCCGCCGATCCTTCTTCATCTTGATATCTTGTTTGTATGCCGACTTAGGATTTTCTTTCGACGAATTGCATAAAGGAGCATTCTGTGTCATTCGTCGGGTATGATCGGGCTCTTTAACACCGGTGTCTATATTTATATCATCATCTAACATACCATCGTTTGAATACCCTTTCGTGATACCGCTTAGTGGAGCAGGTGGGTATTGGCAATCGGTTTGGCTCTTAGATGCTCTTGATGTTGATGAACTGTCACTATTCAGCTTCTCGGATACCATTACCAGGCCCCGTTTCTTCCTAGGCTTGATACGCAATTCTGTCCTCGACTCGCTTATAGGCTGTCCCTGGGCCAATCTTAAGCGTTCTTTATTACTGCCAACCGCTTCCGCTTTATTCCTAGGTTTCGGCTCTGTGGTGAGATTCCGGCTCCCAACCGATTCTTTTGGTCCTAAGACAGAGGGTGGGCCTTCAGCTCCTCTATCGATTAAATCTGCCGCTGACGCTGTATTGCCAAGCGCACTATCTCCATCCCTAAGTTGAGTATAGTGTCGCTTATTGCTTCCGTGGCTCTTCAACCCCAAGTTCGCCGATATTGGTTGTAATGTGTCCATCTCTACAGGCTGTCTTCCAGTCTGGTCCCTTCGCCTTGGTCCTGACTGTCTTTCGTTGATAGGTGGGTCGCATTGTTCGTTAATGTCAGTTTTATCGCCTAAAGAAAGCAGCTGGGGTTGCGGCTTAACAGAATCCCGCGTTGAAATAACCTGGTGCTCTTGATATGCTTTCTTTGATAGCGCAAGTCTAGAAGTATTGGCCTGTGCTTCTTCTTGTATTCTTGTAGGTGCATCATGTATAAGTATAGGCACGGCACCTGAATTACTGGCATGGGCGCTAGGAATAGCTGATGACAACGGCCGGTCGTCAGCAGAGACGGATGTCACCTTCGGCGGCCTGCTCCGCAATAGTGGACTACTTGTTGGCGTACCGGATAGTGTCAATGAAGCACCAAATAAGCTTTGTGCGTAACCGCTCTTGCTTGGAGGAGATACTTCTCGCTTCCTTCGCTTCGCGGGGCGTGCATCGTTATCCTGTGTGGAAGCAGCTAGTTTCCGTCTTTCTTCGTATGGCGATTCAGTTGGCACGAGAGCACGCCCATGGTGGCCAGTAGGTGTGCCAATCAAATTATGGAGAGGCTTATGTCGCAGCTGGAAGTGAGGGGCAGCAACATCTGGTGTAGCAGCCTCAACTATAGGAGGTCGTCGCGCAAGAGCAGCAGATTGACGCTCAGCCTTTTCTCGGGCTCTCTTGTCTATGAGTTCGGAGAGATCTTGATCACGACTCCCCGTACATTCAGCGACCTGAACAATGGTGCCTCCTCTTTCAAGTTCAACTTCTTCGCCTTCGTCGAAATCATAATCTTCGTGCCAGTGTGTGTCTCCTATAAAGTTGCCACGCTCGTCGTATACCATGATACGTTTATTAAATGTGTGATATTTCAACCTCCCATCTTGCCAGCGCTTTTGCTTTCTGCGAAGGTCGCGCGTAAATAGGCAGACATATTCAAGGACTGGAGCGGTGCTACCGGGTGTCTGCTGGTGATTTGAAGATGCAGAGCTATGCATAACCTGCATAGCTGTAGCCATGGCTATCGATGAATACTTGTTGACATTGATCAATGATCAAGGTTGTAGGTATATATGGCTTGGTGGTGCCTAAAAAGGAAAGACAACCCAAGTATTCAACGTAGTCGCTTAATGCTGTTACTAAGCTCAAAAAGTTGAAAGTTGGTGTGGAGAGATTAGAACGGGGATTAGAACGCGCTTTCGCTATCAACTTGTATTAAGCGTGTTTTCAACCAATTTAAATCATGTAAGAAGTCGCGTCCCACACAACCTACTACAACACGTTAGCACGTGCTGCTGAGCGGTACATTTAACTGCCTAAAATAGTAAGTACATCTGAGTCATGTTTTTGATGTAATATAGGGCTGCATACACTATGTACACTAGAATTATTTATACAAGTGCCCCCTGAGCATTAAATTTGTGACAATTGGAAGTAAGACTGAGGATGCTGGTGTATTATGTATTCAAAAGCTTTATAATTCTTCAGCAGCATATAACCTAAACCAAAAAGTCGTCTGCAGCTTGTCGTAGCTTGTCTTAGAGACTAACAACAAGCAATCATTGTTTTATTTTTAGATTTCTAACCATTGGCCACAAGTATGTGCAGTGACGTCTTGCTGCTTATCGTTATCGTAAACCTGTTTATTCGGAACGGTGAGGCGTTTGTGTTAGCAGTACCTAGCTAGCTGCACTGCCCACCGATAACCTATTCGCGGTTCGTTTCGAGAAGATTAGGAAAAGATGGGGAATTGATGAGGAGAGGACAGGCCATCCTGCAGGCAATCCCAAATCCCAATCACAACCTATCATCCTCCACTAAAGTTCCATGTACCAGGACCAGCTCCTACATTTATGTATAGCCAAAAAGCTTCTCATAGTACTTGCAAAGTACCCAGCCTTAATAAATTGGTTTAAAAGGGTACTTTCATAATAGCCTTCGTCATTCTCTTCTCAATCGTAACTTCCTAGCCTATCTTATACCATGCTCTTTAACCTTCGTCAATTCGTCAATTGGAAGTTACGGACAGAAGTGACTTATGTAAAGTTCCGGCAGTTCGGTAAACCGGCAGCCGTTCCTCTCACTATACATTAGGTACCTACCTATTACCTAAATGCATGTCTAAACGCATGTACATATAATTATTTCTACGCCTCTTCTCTCAGCCCCTTGTTTCTGCCTGCATTTCCGCCCCTGCTTCTAACTTCCGACGCGAAAGAACAACGCTGCTAGACCGACCTACTTATTTCATTTATTTCACTTCACACGACAGTCTCTGTTGTTTAACTGTTATCGTTTCTTACTCACTCCTCACCCTTTAGTCGGCAAATGTCTTCACTTCGTCCCTTCATCCTTTCGAGATACATACAGACTTAAGCGTGCAGGACCCTTCGTCATGCCATATTTCAAAGCTACGAACCCCGCGTGCTATTAATTGTTCATAATCCCCCCACCACGCGTTTCCCTTCAAGGATAAGTAGTTAAAGCAGATTGATAACGTGGCGAGCTCAACAAAAAAGCCACCATGCAATCTATGCAGAGACAGTTCGGGAAATTACTCCACAAGAGCCCTGGAGATAATGCCCGAGTCGCTGTTTTATTAAACGACTACGAGGATGCCGACAGAGTTCTTGCTAAGGTATGAACTAAAAAAATGCCTTTATCGTTCCCAGTCCGCCACAATCTGGCCTCCCGCATACTAATAGTTCATGTTTCCAGATCATTGACCACACCAAGTCATGGCACGAATCCTGGGTAAGCCTGGCTATGGCGCAACTAGGCATAGTCACCGAGTACGACGGCCTCTGGGACCCAATAGTTGGTGCTACCGATGGTCATGGAACAACAGCTGTGCCGACCCCGGATCTCCAGCTCGAACGTACCCTAAGGTTGAAACAGGCTTATACTGAGCTTAAGGCAGAAGTACTGGAGGAAGTAGGTCTCATTGAATCTACAATAATTAAGCCCGCTACCGACGCCCGCGACTGCATTGCGCCCTTAAGGAAGACCATTAAGAAGCGGGAAAACAAAAGGTTAGATTACGAGAAGTGCCAAGACAAGGTCAACAAATTGCAGAGGAAGGTCTCTCGAACTCCCAAGGAAGATGCTGCTCTGGCCAAAGCCGAAACCGAAGTTGCGCGAACAGCTGAGGTACAGATTCTAATACGATGCGAAATAAGATGGATAATTGAAGCTAACGAGCCCCATAGGAATTCGAGATTGCGGACTCACATCTAAGAGAAACATTACCACCTCTCGTGGCCGCGACTTTCAGCATAATACCGCCGCTCATAGCAGGAGTGGTTGTAATTCAGAATAGACTGCTCGGCCTGTATTATACCACGCTTCACAACTATTGTCAAGACTATGACTTTCCATCGCCGCCACCACCCATGGAAAGTGTCATATCCATGTGGTCGGGTGCTTATGAGCCCGTCAAGCGCGAAGTCGAATCCATAGCATGCATCGCAACGGGTAAGGCCGTCCGACAGCCTATGAAACTTCCAGACGATCCAAGCAACATCAACAATAATAATAACGATCGCAAACCATCCACTTCGTCCGCGACTTCCTCCACCGCGGAGAACGGCTTTCACCGTTCACCGTCTGGGCTCATCGGCTCCAGTAACTCCGCACCACCTCCAGCTGGCCCACGGCCAAAACGAATCCCTTCGTCAGCCTCGATAGCGTCATCCCAAGGAAGTAACACAATACAACCAAAGCCGAAGCCGTCGTTTGCTATCGGCAATCATCTCACGCCTACAGACTTTACCACAGCATCTCGACTCGGCCAGGGACTAACACCAGCGATATCACCTGGTTCCACTCAACCACGAGCAGATTATTTCGGACGCCCTTCCCCGACGCCCACAAATGCATCCAGCACGTCGTTCAACGCAGCCGCTAGCGCAGCCGCCATTGCCGTCAAGAAGAAACCTCCCCCGCCCCCACCGCCGAAGAAGATAGGCGCAAACCGGCTAGAGGAGTTCGTAATTGCCCAGTATGATTTCGTTGGGCAGAACGCAGGCGACCTGTCCTTCCGCGAAGGCGATAGGATAAAAATCGTCAAGAAGACGGGCACGGATCAGGACTGGTGGATGGGCGAGATAGACGGCGTCCGGGGCAGCTTCCCGGCAAATTACTGCAAGGCAGCTTAGCAGGTAGCGCGTCTAGAGCAGATCCCAGCTATGTTAGGTTAGGTAAGTAACTAGAAATTCGGAATAAAATGCAGGTATCCGGAACATGCGGTGTTATATATATTTAATGAGTATCACTTCGTTTCTATAATGGTGGTCTAAAGGGGGGGTTCCTTCTACTTGCTCTTTCAGTCATGTCTAAATAAACGGATAAGGCTGGGCGGATGGGTAGATGGATGGATAATGAAATGGGAAAAGATTTACGGTCCTTTATAATAGGATACGCATACCTTTGGTATTTATAAGTATAAAAGGGAGAAAAGAAAAAAAGAAGAAAAAAGAAAAATTGGGGTTCAAGTCAATACAATAGTACTTCTTCTAGTCTTCACTGCAAATAATGGCGTGAGGTCAGAGTATGATATGATGAAGTATTGATGCTTCAAAAATATTGATGCTTCAAAAATATATGCATTCAGTCTGCTTAGTTTTAGGTATTTACGTCCGCCTAACCTAACCTAACCTAGCACTCAACCAAGAGAGTCAGTCACTCAATCACACCTACTACTCCTCCCCATCAAATAGATAAATATCTTCATTTTCCATTTCCGAAACCCAGCAAAAGCACAGACCAGCCCATTTCCAATATCAATCAAACAACACGAACGGATTGCCCACGCGGGAGCTGCCTCTTAGCGAGTAGAGCAAGAACGAAAGTAAGTCTATAACAGAGGCCGGGGCAAATCAAATCAAATGAATTAAAAAACGATGGCGGATATCAGACTGCCGCGCGATTGACAACCTATTTGCCATTTCCCTACGCCTGTTGAATCCATGCATGCAAGTGTAGTAGCTGTTGCTGTATCATCCAGTCTTTGTTGAGGATATCGGGTATCATAAACGAGACAAATGAAATATCGCGGCTCGAGGCGCCGGTACGTGTGCTTGGGCCAGGAGTCGTGATGGCAGTCAAACAGGTGAAAATGCCGTGATAAATAGATCCAGACCGCGCAATGCAACTCTTAACCTCGGAACTGAAAGAATGGTATCGTTGATACCCGAACAGGAGACCTCCCCTCCCCTATTCTTAGGTACGGTAAGCCTGAATTCGGGCTGTTGGAAAGACCTCCACGACCAGGAATCTGCTCAGAGCGCCGAGGATCCAGTGGCAGAAAAAAAACGACGATACGGCAGACGATTAATCACAATATCCCATTCCGATAAATCTAGTAACAGCGACGTATGCTGTGTATCATACGCAAAGGCGGCGGGAGGGCTCAGAATGTGCTAGGTCCCAGCTCAACGGTGGGTGATGTCGTACCCTCTCGTCGTTTGCGTTCCTCTTCGGCTCTTATAGCCCGTGCGATCTCTTCTACTTGAATATCCGCAGCGCCCCGTGCTCCCAAGTAACCATCTTGAGCATTTTCGAGTTCCATAGGTGTCACGGGTCCAGGAGATCCCAAAGGTGCCAGTCTTGGCTTACCCGGCCCGGGCATGGTTGTAAACCCGATCGTCCTCAACGAACTTAGTGCTGCCGCGTTGACATTTCCACCGTTAAGAGCCAGCGTCGCTTGAGCAATCATATCGCGTTGGTACTGTTGTAATCTACGTTTCGCGTCCGACTCATTCCGTGAATGACCCAACGCAGAAGAGTCTCTGGTGGTAGGTACAAGTGATTCCGACTTGGATCCCATCGGAGGCAACGGGGTCGACGTTGGTGGGCGGGTCTGCTGGCTTCGCTTTTCTTCTTTTCTCTTCACATAGTTGGAAGGGTAATACTTGCCCATTGGTAGAGGGCTGTCCTGGGTGCCAGTCGGCATGTAGCTAGCAACGGGGGTGTGAGACCTGGAATCGAAACTAGGTTCTGGCATGCTTGTGGCATTTGGTGGCGCAAGCTTCGTGGATCGTTCTGGCATAGTTACGGGGGCCGTAGTAGAAGGGATAGCTCCCGTCGATGCTTTAGCGGAAGTGGTTTTCTCAGGACCGGGGGAGTCGGACTGGCTCGCACGTTCGATGGATTTCATACGGGCCTGGGAAGCATCAAGCTGAAACGGGTGAGGACGATAAATACGGGCTTGCTCCTCATGCAAGGGAAAATAACCACTATTACCAGGCGAATATTGTTAGCAACGATTGTTGAACGTTAAACTGCTAGCGCATCCATATCCGACTCAAGAAGCTTACCCAGGAAGATCGCCGCGAGCTGAAAGAGGTGCAGGTGGAGTGTAAACAGGAGCACTATTAACCTTCTTTACAGTGGGCAACTCGATTGCAATTGGTTTGGCTCGAGCAGGCGTTGATCTAGGAGCGTCGAAAAGGACCTGGTCTTTTTTTCCTGAATCAGTTGGAAGATTTATTTAGCAATGGTCCGAGTATGACGCAGTTTAACAAAAGCAAGCGTGGAACCAAAGACTCAAAGACAAGTGGAAGAGGGGTGCATAGATGGGCGTTTCAAAGGGGGACTGCGGGAGCCAAACAGCACCTAGCTAAAGAAGCTAAAGAAAAACGGTATCCTTGAACATGCACCCCGCCTTAGGGGTTGATAGTGGAGAGGAGTTGGAGGAGTATTGGAGCATTGGAGAGCGTTAGTGGCTTGCTGAGCCATCCAACCACCGTCTCCCGCCCGCGGTCACACGTCGAAAAATGGCAATCTTCACCGCAGACTGCAGACTGCAGACCGCAGACCGCAGACCGGCATTCCGGATTAGAAAACAAAGAAAACACAACCCGTGCACATCTAAAGTAAACGACCCATTTTCTTGTGAAAAGATCATCGCTCGCTAACAAGAATTATGAATATATAAAGTATAAACATACCGCCAATAGGTCTAAGATTTGGAGAAGATCCGGGTTTGTGCGATGGATTATCCATCGATGGTTTTGGCGAAGGTCTCGTAGAGAAGATAATATCGTCTTGCCGGATGTCGGGTGATGAGAGAGGTGACGCTTCGGATGAACTTGACATGTTTCTCGAAGGTGGAGGCGGTCGTCTTTTCATGGAAGACAAGTATGAAGATGGCTTAAACGAACGGCTGAAGCCTGCCATGTTATCGTCAGTACCTCTAAGCCGCAGCTCACTAATCTGCCCTTGCAGCCGAACCCCAAATAAACGTAGAGACCAGGAAACCTAATGGACCACAGGACTCTCAGTCAGTACAGCTCTTCAGAAGTCGGTTGGTGTGTTTAGGACTAGACGTCGCACGGTCCTTGGCCAGTCATAAACAAGTAGGTAGATATGAGATAGGTAAGCCGAAGAGTATGTTGAATTTGTCGAGACTGGAGCCCGTTGTTCAAATGGCCTTATATGTCGAATGGGCCGGTGGAGGTTCCCACTTGTTGTTTATACCAATGGTGTTCCTTAGGAATTTATCTTCTTCCTCTCATATGACGACGTGCTTCACGTTTTGAAATAATGCAGAAGTCGTGCTACCCAACAAGCGACGGTTCGGTGCGGTGCTTGATCAAATACCAAGCAAACATGACAATGCAATAGATCGAAGAAGGATGGGGTTTTGTCAGGTATCTTACCTTGGCAAGAAACGTCGGTGGGTTTATGTCCAACGTGAGGGTTGATACCTCGCACTTCTATAGGTAAACTATAGTACGGGCTGTTATCGAAACGTGATTTGGTTTCGAAAGAAGATCACCGTCCCGACCCGTGGCGGGCTGAATAGTGCGTACGTAATGCGTGGTATGTAGTATGTAGTATGTAGTATATAGTGCGCAATGAGAGGTACGTGTGTCTAAAGTATCCGGCGTCTCCACTCGCAATTTGACCATGGATTCATGGATTAACTGACGGGTGGAATAGGTAGATGGAGGGATGGATGGATATGTATGAAGAGACCCGCTTCCTCCCGTTCGTTATGTCTAATTGTCTACCTTTAACCCGAGGGGGAGACGGGTGCCCTTGGCAGATGATGTAAATATTCTTGGTCGCTCGAAATTATTGTTGTTCAAAAGAGAGCAGGTGTTTAAGCATTGGTGGAGATGCTAAGTAAACGTGATAGTGAATGTGAGTGAGTGTGTGTGGTAGAGTACACCCAAACACACACCTTTCAAACGGAAACCCCAGACCCCCTGATGAGATTGTTGGAAAGTACTTTATATCGTATAAAGCCGGTCGCGATAGATGTTCGGAAAGTCGGGATTAACTAGCATTTCTTCTGATAAGATGACGACTCTGGTCTCTTAGTCCGCCGTATAGCCATCCGAAGGAATAGGCTCTAGTACTGTACCTTATGGTGTGTTATAAGTTATCGGCTTGCTTATTATCACCGCAGGAATATATGTAATATCTTTAAAGATGATTGCTACCAAACACGGTAATGTGGCGTTAGGTACGGGAACCCTTCGAGGAGTAAAGCACTTCGGATTCAAAAAGGCATTGATGATGGGTGGTTGTGATTGGTAAGAAGTTCCAATGCATATAGGTATCAAATCAAACAGAAAAAGGTAAGCACGTCGATACATATATGTACATACATTATCGCACTTGCCTAGATCTGCAAGAATTTATAATTAGTTTCCCTCTTAAAGCTGAATGAGAAGACAAATAATATAAGCACCTACCTAATGTTTAGTAGTTAGGCACTAATATTGCGTAAAGCTTGGAATTTTTCGTAGGGATCCTTCGACTTTCTACATGTAAGTACATCATACTACCTAACAGGCTAACCTAGACTTGTATGCAGGTAGGCTCCACTCCACCTCATGAAGAAGGAAACTTGGAAGTACAGTACATCTGAACTGACAGTTTTGTACCGGGGTAGGTAGATTCGTATGTGATAGGTACCCTTCGCTCATTGGGTAGCCCTATCAAAGTGTCATTTCCGCCCACTGCAACATATTGGCGCAAAAGGGAAAAAGAAAAAATAACTAGTAAGATTTACAGCATTGTCTACGATCGCCTACTCTCTCCTCACGATTGCTCGATACGATTATACCAACATGTCAACAATATGCCGACAGGTCGGGCTAGCATTAATGTATCCTCGTACGTAATGGGTAATTCTTGACGATCATCCAACCTCTAGATGAGGCCGCATCATACGAGCCCTGCTAACCATCAACGCGTCCCACCCACATCAATCATACCTTGATCTCGGCCTGTAGCAGTGTAGGTACCCTCCAAACTACCTAACCCCCTAGACTGACCTCTCTAGACTGCCCTCTCTAGACTGCCCTCTCTAGCTTGCCCTCACACGCTCGGCCGATTGCATCTTCCGATTACCTACTCCATACCGGCCGGGGAGAGTTCATATCGGCCAGCGTGTAAGATGTAGAGGAGCAAAACCCGCCTAAGTCTCCTCCATCTTCACCATGTCTTCTTTACTACCCTATCAAATTTATGACATAGCCCGCCTGCGACAAAACATGACCGGTCCCCGAACTCGCAGTTTACCGCAAACCCCGGTGACTTGGAAAGTAGGATGTTTTGGTAGTCTGGGTGCGTTGCTACCCAGCGTACAGTGATCAACATTTCCATATCGCACATCAAGTTGCCTCCATTCTCATAACTAAGCAGCTCTAGGTACCCAAATACACACAGCCTCTAGACACTAGGAACTCTAGCGTAGGCACAGTCCCACAAGACCTCAGCCTATGATACATGCCTTATGCATAATACGCGAGAGTATTCTACTAGGTTAGGACATTATGTCCCTATTCATCAAGGGAAATTTGTAGTCCCGAAGGGTAGAATGAGATCACAAAATGAGTAGAATATCCAAAAATAGCGTTTGCGAATTTTACCGCTGATGCCTCTGTCTTAGATTATTGCCACGAGCTAAATTCTAGACGGGTGCCCAACCGCTTAACTAGGTCCCCTCGTGAGATCATCCAGCATCTGCATTTGGGTTTGAGACTTACAGCTGTGAACAATTCAATATGTGGCCATGACGAGCCCATTAAAAGTGTACGTGTATGCGGCGGCTTCTTGTAACCTCCTATCAAGGAGGAGAACCAAAGAATACATCATTCCAACGATCTAGTAACATCTCGCAACATCTCGCAACTTTCTTGACGAAGCTGAAAATGAAGCGCCTGAGCCTGTCAGCGACAGGCACGCAATGCCTTTACTACATACATAGTGTACCTATTCGCACCACTAGCACCGGACGATGCCGGAAAGAGATAAGTCCCCGCCGATCTACCAGTAGATCGATGTTCGGGGAAAAAAACATGGTTCCCATCGTCGCCCGGGGTCTATGTACATAGACTACGTCGAGCGACTTTAGAATAACCCTGCTCTCTCTGGGTCTTCTCCGCGTTGACTCTCCTCTCACACGTGTAGGTACGTACTATATACGCCGTCATTATCAATCTCAAAAAACTCTAGCTTCGAATCGACACTCCCTCGGCTCTTTGCTCCGAATGGTCGAAATTAGGTGTTCTCTCAGTTCATATGGCTATTACGTATCTGCATAATTCCTCATCGCACGTCTATGTGACGAAGATCTTCGACTAGTAAGGTTCACAACGCCCGGTCCCTTGTCACGAATTTTCTAGCAGGAGATTTAAATGCGCTAAGCGCGGTTCTGGCCGGGTCCCAACTTTGACTCGGGGAGTATCAATCTTGACAGGGGGATCCGGTAAAAAGATTTTGAAGGATCGACCATAGCGTCCTAATAAGCAGAACATCATTAGTATCAGTGTCGATTATATTCTAATCGTAATTGCCACAGATCTAATTGTAATTGTCACAGAGTGGGAGGTTTGGCCATGACAGGGGAAAGTCCCCGTTTCCCCCTGACGTTGAACAAATGAGAGGGAGAGACGAAGAATTCTACCTATAGCAGATTTGATATGACGTAGGTGGTAGTCCAAGGCGGTCCCTTGGCGCATATCTCGGGATCCTCAAGTAGCGTTTACCCACTTGACATCCTACCAAAAATCGCAAAACAGGCACACATAAAACCAACGTGACGATATTACGGCCTAAAGAAACAACAGATAGTTCGTCAAGTTTTCTTGTGATACATAGCGGCATGTGAAGGGGGCCTAACCTTTCCACTGCCAGCCGGTAAAACATCTATGTGGTAAGAGAACCGTATAGGCTACGATAAGAGGTAAGATATTAATTAATGCATTGCATTGCATATACGCAGTCACTTTGGAAAGCCACTCATCTAACTGCATATCTTAAAAAAAAAAATCGAAATAAGCACACACATAGCCGCAGCTCAGCGGTTTTGGATCGGTAAGGCTGCATAGAGTTTGGACTCTCATACTTCATCTACATATACGTATGCCATGTGGTTTTGAGACACCGGGAGTTTACGGTGGGTATAGGTTAAGGTGTATATCTTAAGTAGATGATGACAGGTTCTTCGGAGTACGTTGCAATAAACGTCATGTTCTAGGCGGCACTTTGAGAAATAAGCAATCTCATTCTTATTGATGCTTTATGCAGAATCGAATGAGCTGCAGACCAAGAATGCAACGTGGCATACCTAGACTTCGCAGAGCCTCGAATAACTATCTAACGACTCCAACTCCTGATTATGTCACTTTACATCCATGACGAATTATTCAGAAATCCAAGTCGTGCTTTTGGGTATTCGAAACTCTCACAACGCCAAGCTGTCCCTTATCGTTTTCATCATCGTAATCGCACATACCCTAAGCTTTCCCACCAAGATCAGCCCCAAAATTATCAGATCTTCGAAACAATATGATAGCCGTACTTCGTATATGATATAATTATAGCTGAGCACGGCCCGTAAAGCGGCTTCGCCTCTCGCGGTGAGTCCACCAATAAGTGGCACTCGCAACGAATCCAATAAGCCAGAGCAGTGCGTTCGCCAAGTCAACCCACACGGCGTTCTTCATCCTCTGGATGTCTCCATTACCTTCGGGGTCCTCATGGATATACATGCCACCAAACAGACCGAAGAGCGCTATCCACAAGATAAACATGATAGAGTTCCATACCGTAACTGCAGCGAATCGTAGGATAAAAGGTATGAAATAGAGGATAGCCGTCAGTGCGGCAAGAACCCCCACAACTTCAGCGTAGACCTATAAAATAGTAGTACTTCTGTCAGCCTTTCCCACTTCAAATGTTCTAAGCAAAGACCCCAACATCAGCTTATCGCGGGGGCGGGGGCGGGCGGGGACGATCTGGCATACCCATTTCCCATCGATATATTTGCCCTGGGAACGCGCGCGCGCAAGGTCAATGCCGTATAATCCACAGACGGTAACAGCAAGCACAAATTGGACAAAGTGAAGAACAGAGAAGAGCAAATAGCTCGCTGCCATGCCCAAGATACCCATAATTGCAAGGCTCGGCGCAATGAGGAAAGAATGTCGATTGCGATGTCGACTAGCTAATACTATATCGCCGCGGGCTTTAATAACGATATGATGCTGCGCACTATATAGCGAGCACGCGCAAAAGAATGGCTGTGGAAAAACACAAACGCTTGGAGCTAAAGACGATTGATGCCAAAGGATAGAAGTTAGAAGCTTGAGGCCGTTTAGGCGTGTAGGCGAATCCTCTTATCCTTGTTTGTAAGAAATGAAAAAACGATAAACGATGACGAACTATGACGAACCATGCGTCTGTGCTTCCAAATGTGTCTAGCCCCCAGACTCTGACATATGTATCTTTGTAGATTTCCTAATTCAGACACCATCAATGTATCTGCCTCCTTTAGGCGTGCCAAGAAAGGCTAGTTAGTTGCTATTGGTGAACTGAAACTGAAAGCAGCCCGTCGGACTTTCGCGTATAAGTGCTTTACTTAGTTTCGTGTAGTTAGACTTTCGAAAAAGCATTTCTAATTGCACTACATTGTAATAAGTTAGATTCTTAATCCATAGTTACCTCTTAGTACGTAGGAGATAGTTAAACTTGGATACTTTTGCTTTTAAATGGTCTGATGAGTTCTTTAGCGATTACACTAGTTAACTAGTTAAAGCAAATATTATAACTACCTGTTTGAAAAGACCCCTGATAAAGACTAGTTGATACCGACAGCTCGGTAGGATCGAGGCTAGAGTTGCTCGGAGGCCTGTTACCAGTGGCGACATAGGTTCGGGTTCGCATTCAATAATAGCCTCAAGGGTTACTATCAGCAGCAATCAGATATGCAATGGTCTTTACTGCTGAAAACGTGGGGGTTGAACCAAACTTGACAAGTCACTTTACGGGGCTATTCCAAGAGGCTGTCAGCTATGAACTCTCCTTGCTAGATCTCTGAGGCTCGTTGATCGAGATTTCCGAAGGAGATATCTCTTGTGTCTAAGATAGTCGGGCAACGTGGGCTGTCTCTCCCAATCCACGTCCAATGAGAGGTAACCCCAACTCTGATACCCCTCCAATTATTGCACGTCTCTAAGTCTCACGACATGTTTTTGGGAGAGCCGCATGATGAACAAACCACCTCTGTTGATTTCATCAGATATAGCAAAGCTTAGGACTTAAAATTTGGGATATATAAGTGATGAGGCCCACGTCCGACTCTTGGAACCGTCGCAGGATGCTGAAGGCGCCGGCTGAGTTCCGGGGTCAGTCGGGGTGTACGCGGCCGCTTATCATGTCCGAGTCTGAATCTCAGCTGTGCAGTTACACCGTTGGATTCCTTCGCTTACATCATATATCTAAAGATGAACTTTTCTTTTTTTCCCTCTTTTCTTCTCAAGAAACCTCGAGGCCACCCCCGCCTCGTATACGCGGACCGCTTGTTCGTTCCCGTCGATGCCAACGCCGGTTTCAGACCGCCTGAGGCGTTAGTTCAGCTACCTCCTAATTTCGGTAGACGGCGCGTTATAATGGCGGTCGTACAGATGACAGGTCTACTGGCGCGACTCGCTGGTTCAAGAGGGATGGTGGTGCATGGGGAATCAGCCCTACGACCGGCGGGCCTCATGGCTATGCAATGCGACTCTTGTGCAGTTGTTGGGTCCTTGTCGCCTGAATGACAGGCTACCGAGCCAGTGGGAGCCAATATAATCGCGAAGCGGTTACCGAAAACTGTATAGTGGCTGTGGGAACACTTGTCAAAGAATCGCCGGTCTCCTCAAAGCGTCGTCCGCAATCAATATTGAGGATTAGATGCGTCAATCAACATCCTATATTCCACCGAGAAGGGTGTAAGGAAGTGGAACTCGTCCTACCGAATCTATCTAGGTTTCTCGTTGGGAAATGCGTCACATGTCGAAGTTCGAGTTACTCAATCAAAATGGCGATGCTGTTGACTGGGAAGCCTGTTAGCTTCGCCAATCTCGTGCCTAACCACTTAGATGTAGGGTTTCGACAGGCGTATCCTCTTCCCTGACCGAGTCCTAGTCAGTCATACGACGCTGACATTCCGAGCCACTGGAAGTCTATCAGCGTAACAACCAGATATGGCTCCTGAGACTACAATCTTGCTATCTACTTGGTTACGATACTGGGCTGTGAGTTTCCAAGATGTGGTATAAAGTCCATTGCGAGTCCTCCTTCTGGATGCCTGGATCTATCGCCATTACTCGTCTACGAAAGCTCCTAGCTACTCAATTCGCAGCAAACAATTTTGTCGAATATACTCTACTATCTTATACCGAATTTTACTTGGTTTTTAATATTTATCATGGCCCCGTTCCACTCACACTGCAAGCAGATTGCTTACTCGGACGGCATCGAGGAAAGCTACAATGACAACTTCACCACCACTTGTTTCTCCCACGGGGCAGCGCCAATGACAAATACCTTAGCGAGCTCAAAAAAGGAAGAATGGCGCTGGAAATGCGTGCGTTACTTGTCCCTCTATTACTATAGCCTGTAACTAACGTAGTTGAAGTGCAATTGCAACCCTGGCACTAACAACTCATACTTGTTCGATGAGTGTTGCACCGAATGTTCACATAGGAGATGTGATAGCTGCGAGATTTGGACCGTGAAATAGATGCCTAAGCTAGGTATTAAGCATGGCGGGCATTCATGGGAGGCGCGGGGGTTTTCGCTTTTTCTTTTTCGGGAGGCTCCGGACTGAGAACATACACTTCGGCATCTCCGTCTCTCCTTTTCCGACTAGTGGAGGTCATACGGTCTTTAAAAGTTCCAAAAGTTCGGACATATTTCGCCTCTCATTTGTGGATTGGACAGAATCAATGTAGATGAAAGCTCGCGCCGGTTATGGTTTACATGGGATTTGCCTTCATCTCGGGGAACATAAAAGCGGCACAGACTCAGATTTCATTATGTACTACCGATAGACTGATAGAAAATCCTCACGGTTATAACACTTTGAACGGTGATACAAATGGCGACACAGGAGGTGGTGACATGCGGCTGATAACACCTAAAATGCTAATGTTGGAAGAGTGACTTTCCGAAACTGGCTGTCCCAACCGTAAATCCCTTGTGACTCGCCTCGCATATAGTCAAAGGATTTAGACTTGGGCGGAAATGCAGCTAAAGGATGCGTAGCTACCATACATGCATGCATGAGCCCTAGGAACCAGCCGCCGGCTACACTTTAAACTATTTCGATACAACGAAATCTACGACCAACAAGTATCCTGACACAGCTAATGTAGATACAGTCGTACTGCTACCGCGTCCTCGTACATATCCTGGTACCTACCCCTATATTAACTGAGAGGAATGACTGACTACCCATGTATATGTATGTCACTTATTACGGTTACGCCCGCTGGAACTACACTCTGCTTACGGGAAGTCTTATGGAAAGTAACACTAAAGCTATACCGAAAAATCTAGGCATTTAACAGCACCAATTGGCAACGAGCCTTACGCCAAACCCTTGTCAGGGGCGGGCGCCGCCGACGGCAATTGGTAAACACAGCCTTGAACGAGTTTCGGCTCCTCTAGCTCACGTCAAAGTCGAGGCAAACCCAAGGCTTCCAACGCTAACGACTAGGCAGCTTGGTGCCTTCTAGGCCGTCTATATGCGACCTGACAGGAAGAAGAAGAAAGGGCTAGGGCGGACCCGTCAGCCAGAAGTGTTCATACTGGGAATAGCGGTGGGGACAAATGTTACTACAGTCTACTATACAAATTCAGCCCCCCCCCCCCCTTTTTTTTCACTTTCCACCCTTGATATACCGCACAAGGTCATTCCCGCAACTTGCAAGCTGAGTAAGGATGCGGCCGGGCGTTTATTAACGGCATGCCGTCACTCGGCTAGACCCAATTGAGGTTCCGAGACACATCATCGACGCACTGTTGCCTATCTTCGGTTTCTCAATTCGGTCGCGGTTGAGAAATATCCGGAGCTTGACAGGTCTGGAAGAAACTGCACTTGCTGGGTTGTTGCGTTAAAGGATGTAGTTGATGCTGGGCTGTGACTTGGGAACATGGGACATGGGGTTACGTGTTGGTATGTCCCCACATTTTTGAGGCTCTGTGTGGAGATTATAACTCGTCACATGAGAAGATGATGAAAGTAGTTGGTTCCGTACAAGATTATCTTCAGGGTCCTGCATGTGATTAATGGCTAGTCGTGTATATCATAACATGGCGTATTATGGCGTACATAATTGGCTTATGCGTTGCAGCTGGTTTGAGTAATAATCTTTATTATTATTTTGGGTTACGGATTATGCAGATAAGATATGGCTGACTAAAAGTATTGCGCCAAGGTTACACGCTGTTAGTACCTCTTACCTATAGAATGCTGTATGTACATTATAATGCATGTACTTTTTATATACCGTTCGCATATATAATATACATGAACGCTGAGTACATACATGCACGTTTCGCAGATTGAGACTTGTCATACCTACAGTACCTAGGTACATAGGTATTGGAACCCCTCCTTTTTTTCCCCCTCTTGTTTCGCTCCATTCATCTTTCACCGTTTTCTACAATTTGGAATATAATTTCTATTCACCGAAAATTGGGCGAATGGATTTATCCATCTTCCTGCTGTGTTGGTTATACCAGCATTCTCCCATTGACAACTCACAGAGCCCAATGAGCCACTTATCGTGGAATCCGACTTAGCTATACGGACAAGGTAGTATAGAGGGGCTTGTCCTTGGCCAACCAATTGACCAACCAATTGAAACTTGATCCAAGCACTCGGTATCTTATTGGCCGGATCTGTCATTTACTACAGCATGTGGCGTCTCATCCCTAGATCCGTTCCTTTCATGTATGAAAATCACTGCTCCGGATCTCCTCCGACAGCTTACGTCCACACTCTATTGTATACTTACCTATCTAAGGCTCCCAGGCCAGCCTCACGCGGAGTAAGAAACTAACCTAAAAGGTACTTCTTCTCAAGGTCCCCTGGTCAACCTTGTACAAAAGGAAAGAAAAAAAAGCAAAATGGCGGAAACCGAACTTCCCAGTCCGCCCTTTGTGCCAATTTCTGGACTGCCCAATTTCCGCGACCTCGGAGGTTACCCAGTGGGTGAGTCCAAGGTCGTGCGCCGCGGCTTAGTCTTCCGCTCTTCGGAGCCGTCTAAGGTCACCGACGACGGCGTATCGAAGCTGCAGGACCTAGGTATTGCGAAGGTGTTTGACCTACGCTCGGCGGTGGAGATCGAGAAAGGCTTGCGCGACGGCTACGGCTGGAAGATCAAGGAGTGGGACGGCGCGAGCCGCCATTTCGTTCCCGTCTTCTTAGACCAGGACTACTCTCCCGAAGCATTAGCTGTTAGGTACAAGAACTATTCTTCAGAACACGCAGAGGTACGTATTGCAATTACGCGCGTAACGCGCCAAAGAGCCGCGGACAAGACCCATGTTGGAACGACGCAGGCAGGCTTTCTAGGGGTGCTGGACTTTTGCCTATCCCTTCTAGTTCGGTCCGAAAATTAGGATCAAACAAGCGGATGATTAGGAGATTGGGGCTGAGGGAATATAGAGTTGCATTTGCTTTTATTTCATTTGCTTGTATTTTGGGGGCGGGCAAACCCTCGCTGGCCTCATTTTGGGCCAAGGTTGAAGAGCGGTGATAAGTAAATGGGGTCCGTTGGGCAGTTACGCTCGCTTTGCCGTACTCCGTTCACCACTCGCTCGAAGCAGGCTGCCTCATGCTTGCGTGTTACCAAGTCACTAGTTTAAGTCGTTCCAAGAGGCTAACAGCTCAACCCGTGTATGCACCTAGACTGACATTTCTTGACTAGGGTTTTATAGCAGCGTATAGCGATATACTCGTTGCGGCGGCTTCGCCGAGTAACAGTTACGCGCCATTCAAGACGATACTAGAGCATCTAGCCTCACCTTCATCCTCCCCGCCGACGCCCTGCCTCATCCACTGCACAGCCGGTAAAGATCGTACCGGAGTGATCTGCGGGCTGATCTTGAGCTTATGCGGTGTACCCGATGAGGTTGTAGCGCATGAGTATAGCTTGACGGACTTGGGGCTCAAGTCGCGTCACGAGGAGCTCATTTCGCATCTGATGAGCAACCCGGCGCTACAGGATCACCCAGTAGCTGCTAGGAGGATGGTTTCATCCCAGTATGTCCTACTTCTGCTTCGTATATTAAACTAACCAGCCCGTCTCGTTGGGACCTCACTGCCTCCCTTTCACCGATTTGCCATCAACGTTTTTACTCATTATCACTTAACTCTTGTCTTGTGATATACTTGCGTATTGGGAGGCTAACTTGTGGAACTATAGAAAAGAGGCCATGCTGGGCACATTGGCCAAGATCCGTAATACTTATGGATCAGTCGAAAAGTGTGTCGTTGACCTGGGACTACTATCACCTGACGGGATTAGGCAGCTACAAAGCAACCTAATTGTCGATGTGAACGAGAAAGGGGTAGTGCCATGGCAGGACCATGCTAAACTATTGTTGTAAATCGGTGGGTATATGCAAGTCTTGAGTAATATGTATACAGAAAGCTGGATGCTGAATCTGGCCCGCTCTTCATAGATAGACATCATTCATGGACCCTCAAGACGTCTTACCCACTCCATGCGTCTTTCGACTTAGATATTCATACATTTTTCGTACAAACATTCCTCCGTTATACTGTCTAACGCTCTGCTCAGATAAGCTGATTAACATAGCCGCAGTAATCCCGAAGGCACCGTCGTATGCATAGGGCCCCGGCGCATCAATAACTTGAATAGTATTCTCTCCTAATACTAGATCAAGGTACTGATGTAGGAATCTTGATTTCGCCCTTGGCGCGGTCGTAGTACGGCGCACCGTACCTCCAGCCGACAGCGTGCCGCGCCCTGCCCTTAGCGCCAACGTTCTCCGAGTTGATCTGCTTGAAGCGGAACTCGAAGCGATTCGAGCGTACTCGGGTAGTGTATTTCTCCTCCAAAGTAGCCTTTGCAAGCTCTTTGTCGGCAGCCTTCCTTTCCGAATCCATCGCAGCCTGCTTGAACCTTTCCGAGGCGTCCCACAGTGGCCGACCCTGCAGAATATCCTTCTCCATCTGGATTAATTCCGGATGGGGAACACGCTGGTCCGCCGACAGCAGCTTTGGGTGGAAGGCCTTGGCCGCGTCGGCACGTGTGAAGTGACGCGATTCGGACGTCGGCCAGAAGATCTGCTTTGTGGTGTACGGATGTACGTGCAGCTCGTTAATGGGCTCGAACGGCTCGTTCCGTAAGTCAGGTTTGAACGTGTGCGTAGGTAACATACCCAGCACAGCTCTGGCATATGGTTTTGCCAACTTCTTCCCCTGACGTTGCAGCATGTTAGCAACGGGCACTCTTAAGAGAAGAAATCTCAAGTGTGAGAAATGTGAGAGGCGACTGTTATCAGAGAGGCTCGCAACAAAAGTTTGTAACCATGTAGTTGTCTTAAAGACTTATCGAATTGGGTAATGTTGATAATCATCATACAAAGCGCCGGATGGATTTGAATAATAGAAAAAATGTAAGAGACGACTAACCTTGGCTATCCAGTCCTTCTCGACTTCCTTTAACCTCACAACAGCAGCTACTCTTCTAATATCGACACCTAGTTCGGCAGAGACGGCTTTGATGGTTTCGCCCTTCTGCATCACCTTCGCCCATATTAATTCCCTCGCTCGGTCATCTAAGACGGGCTGGCTTTTGAAATGGGGGTTGAGGGGGAAAGGGCGATCGACATTCCGCTCATCGTCCCCGGAACTCTGGAGATAATTGGTGTCGCCGGGCCTGTGTTTACGGAAAGTGGAGCCTTGGCCGTTGATCCAAGTCCTGAAGATACGACGGATCTTGGTGAAGCGCGGCCGGCTTGGAGTGGTTGAGAAGCTAGCTTTGCTCTGGGAAGGAGGACATGGCTGCGGGTGACATCGACTTGAGGCCGATGGGACTGCGCATCGGGTCAAGGCGGATGATACCGTCGACGGGCCTGGTATGCGTGGTGGCATCGCAGGAGCATATGACAGCTCGACTCGCGGAGGGTGAGGATGAAGCTTTTATATTAATTGGGGAATCCACCGTAATGTGAAAATCTTCGTTGCGAAAAAATCCACTGGTGGGGTACCGGAGCTGGAAGAATATTGAAACGGCGATTTGAGATTGGTGACCTAAATCTTGGAAGTTTCTATCGATGAAACGCCGGTACTTGGGTACTTAAATAGTGTACATTATGTTATGTACATAGTGGGAGAAAATGTAGATAAGACGGGAGTTAGGTACATAGAGCTCAAGCAAACGGGCAAGCAGGTCGGGTCCTTTCCCCCACATGCCTATCGGGACATATATGGTCCGCTTGCTGGCTGGACGTTTTTTACCCAGAAAGTTTGACTTTTTTTTTTAACTCCTTCGTCCGTTGCAGCGTCTCTTGCTCGTGTCAAACCGGGGATTTCGACCAACTGCATCTCAAGAAGGAGAAGGTGCTTTTTTCTCGTTCATGTCTGTCTATGTACGCATGCAGCAATACCCAAGTCACTGTGCATGTTGCCTATTGTTAGTTTGGAGGCGTCGGCAATTCCACCTGACTCGCACCTCATTCTATACGACCGTTAAATGCTCGAATCAATAGTAAATGCTTGGCAACTTACACGCACCCCAACTGACATACTGCAGAGAGCAACCTATACCTATACTGCTATAGTCGCACATACTCTTTTTATTTTTTATCGTAATTAATTACTATCATCTCATCTTGGCTAGGTATTTTACGAGTCGAGAGAAAGGTACTTGGAAAGACGACTGTTCCGCTGCACGTACACCATACTACACTACATACACCACTACTCTCTCTTAGCCGGGACTCAAAAATCCCACCTACATATAGTTAACCTATATTAGGTCTAATGGTTACGACCACTGGGAGGGCACTAATGAGAAAGGCTCGAGACGCGTCAACTATCCATGCTTAGCTCATCAGTGATCGCGATCCCTTATGCATGGGGAGCTCCCATAATTCCCTAAGGAGATTAACACCCACAAGCATAGCCAAGCATAGCAACTGGTTTGGACAGGCATGGAGGCTTGGGACAGGGAAAAGTCTGGCCGCCTGTCACACCATCCATCTCATCCTGCCAGCCTACTACTGTACCTGTTCCAATACAGTTAAAGGCCAATACATTTAAGGTAGGTTATTAGGTTAAGTTCGGTTTATTAGTTGTTGGCAACATTTGGCAACATTTGGTATTGGTCCCCGGAGCTTCGCATGCGCATACGATATGGATGCCAGACAAGACTTTTTTTTTGCCTCCCGCTAATAAGATTGTTTCCGCCATAGCATACTGCATACTGCCAGATCGTAAAAAAAAAAAGGGTTGCCTACAGTATGTGATTTATACGCTTATATATTTTTATTATTACTATCATTATATCGCCTTATCCACCCGGCATGTAAACAAGCACAAACCTACGGGGCTTCTCTTCAACAAGCTTCTTGTCCCGTCTCCTATCTCTACTTTTTTGGTTTATGCTTATATACTTTCACATTAATTAAGTCCAGTGGACTCGACCCGGAATATTTTAAAAAGAAAGACAGAAAGAAAGAAAGGAGTTCAATTTCCTTCCCTTATGAATTTATTCAACAGCAGGTCAGATGGGTGATCTCAAAGCCCGCATCAAGGCCAAGCTCCTGCGAAGACACAGCGCAGCTCCTACGTTGGGTTCGAGCAAGCCGAGTCTTGGCCAGGATAGGGCTTCCAGCAGCACACGTACGCGAACTTCTACTACGGGCTACGCGGCTTCGTTGAGTACGGCTGCTACCAACGATGATAGACCGAGTGATAGTTCTATTCGTTCCGATGATAGTCCACCGAAGAAGATTGGAAATGGGTTTGGTGTTGATGTTGGTGTTTTAGTCCCAATGACAGTTCCGGTTCGAATTCCGAGTCAAGCCCAAACCCAAGACCGAAACCAAGACCGAGACCGAGATCAAAATCGGGATAAAGCTGAGACGGTTCCACCAGAGCTAGAGAAGCAACTAAACCTAGCCGGCAACTCTAATGTGAATAACACTAACACTCATAATACTCATAATACTCATAAAGCTTTCAAAACTGTGGCTGTGGCTACAAATTTGGACGGGGATGTGGATGTGGATGCAAATGCAAATGGGGATTTGAGTGTTAATGTTAACAATGTTAACAACTTGACCCCATCTTCTTCTACCACCTCTAAGACTGGCAAGGATCTGCAAATTTCTACAATCAATTCAGCGCCTATTCCCGATGTCACTGCGCCCATCTTAAGCCTTGATCTAAACAATACAATCTCGACCGCCGCCACACCATTACCATTACCACTACCGAGTATCAATGAACACCCTGCCGCCGCCTCCTTCCTACAGCTTAAGCCACGCATCATAGACCAAAATCATCATCATCATCATCATCAACAAAAACACCAACTTCAACATCGCGATAATATCAACGACAATAATAACGATAACGACAACGAAAATAATACTACTGACAACAACACAAACGATTATCTCCATCTACCTATATCTTCTAGCCGCGCTCTATCACCTTCAATACCCTTGTCTCGACCTACAGGGCCGCCAAGACGACAGAGCATTCTCCCGAGCCTCCAAACTACCTTGATCAAAACTCTCCTCCACACAGGCAACGCAGGCAACACAGGCAACACAGGCAACGCAGGCTATGCCAGCAGCGAAGTAGGTCAAGGCGAAGTCGATCAACTTCTACCTATTAGCGGAAATATGGTTACCAGAAAAGTATGGGTTAAAAGGCCGCTGGCCTCTCCTACATTGATCACCATAAATGAGGAGGATTTAGTTGACGATGTTCGCGATATGATCTTGCGAAAATATGCAAATTCCCTAGGGCGCCAATACGACTCCCCGGACCTAACGCTTCGTATATGTGATAGGGAACAACAGACGAGTAGAACTCTACAACCAGACGAGCCCATGGGTAGGACTCTCGATGCCTACTATCCTGGTGGCCAGTCCGTCGACGACGCCCTCTTAATCGATATACCAAGCCGTCGAACGCCTAAAGCGTCTCCGAATCCTAGATACTACGCCGACGACCGGCCTCACGAATCCGCAACTGATTATTTTCCACCTTATCCTCCTGCGGCTCAACACGCGAATAACGCCTCGACAACAGTTCTCAACGGCACTCACCAACTTCACTTTCCTCCCTCTTTAACCGTTATCAATGGGGGCCAGCTACCGCCGTTACCGTCTCCCGGCGGGACGAGACGACTCGGAGCTTCAAGACCTAAAATCCAGAGGATGCACACTGCATCACCGGTTTCTACCGTTCCGAGCGGTCTTGCTTCGCAACCCGCAGCGCCGCCTATCGGTATGCACAATTACCCAAGACAACCGCGCTCAAGGACTCATTCAGGTGCATCTTCAGAACAATCCAATCACCCGCCTGCCGCTCCCGCGATCCCGACTCCCCCCATCCCAGAACGCACCGCCACTCCGCCTCCGCCTCCGCGCGTCTCCTCGCCGCGACTCGTCAACCGGCCTAAGAAGAAGAAACCTATCGAACACCCTCTGCTGCCACCGGGCATGCTGAATGGCGGCGTCCCGCCTATTAACGTCCTCATCGTCGAAGACAACATCATCAATCTAAAGTTGCTAGAAGCCTTCGTTAAGCGATTAAAAGTCAGGTGGCAGACAGCCATGAACGGTAGAGAGGCAGTGAATAAATGGCGCGCCGGCGGGTTCCATTTGGTTCTGATGGATATTCAATTACCCGTCATGAGCGGTCTCGAGGCCACCCGCGAGATTAGGAGAATAGAGAAGGTCAACTCGATCGGCGTGTTCTCCTCGTCCGCCAGCAGCCCTCCAGACGAGATTAAGGCAGAACCTGCAGAGGAAGATAAGCTCGTCAACACGGAGATGTTTAAGAGTCCCGTCATCATCGTCGCTCTTACGGCCAGCTCCCTACAGAGCGACAGACATGAGGCCTTGGCTGCTGGTTGTAACGATTTCCTAACCAAGGTAAGCAAGTTCTGAACCTGAGGTGTGAGCTCTACTAACGCATAACTTTCCAGCCCGTCAACTTCGTCTGGCTCGAGCGGAAGGTGATGGAATGGGGCTGCATGCAGGCTCTGATCGACTTTGACGGGTGGAGGAAGTGGAAGGACTTCTCGCAGAAAGCCGTAGAGGACGACTCCAAGAAGGCGGCGGCTGCTAAAAACGCTAAGGCCCCTAAGAAGAACCGGCTGTCGATGACGGCCGCCGCTTGAGATTCTGCGCCTTACATCTCTTGATCGTGCAGGTCTCCGCGAGGCACACGACACTCTTTTCTATTTTTATCTTCTCTCCTTACTACTATCCTCTGTATTATTTCTCGGCGCGCCCTGCCGCACCGCGCCGCGCCGCTACCTATTACTACGTGGGCACGTATACGGAAAGTAACTATAGTTAACTATATTCTACCTATATTGGAAGGACAGAGGTACAGAAAGAGGGAGAAAGAGAGCGTGTACCATTCTTCTTATTATCATCACCTACTATCTATCTATCTAGCTGAACTGGCGCTGGTGCGGGATTTTGGGATTTACGAGGCCATGGCCAAGGTACACGGATGAGGCAATGAAAACGAATCTTTGGCGGAAAAGGGGGGTTAGGACTGGTAAACGTGTTCAGTCAGAATGAATGATACCACATTGCGTATGTACATTACGCACAACGTAACTTCTCGGGTCCGTCTATAGGTTTTTTTTCTAGGTAGTTTTCTGGCTGCTATTATGCATCTGTGTTTCGTGATTTACTTACTGGAATAACGGCTTGTTTGCTATACCCCCCCATTCTACGGCCTTTCGTATAAGCAAGGTAAATCCTAGCCGTCTCGACAAGTATTTTATTGTATTCACAAACATACCTCTCACACAAGCAAGTATTGAATATCTTAAGACCGGTCCCTAACAATTCCGTAAAACTAGTTAATTACTGTATTTAGAGCGTACCTATCCGGAGTCTCTTAACTTAAGACGTACATACGCCGGCCTACCTAACTTAGCTCGACTCCCAAGCAAGCCTAGGTAATAGCTCAGAAGCATGGCAGGCCAAGCCGTGGCACTCAAATACATAACACCTAGAACGTTCCGTTCCGTTCCCGTACGTCCATCTCATGTCTCGTAATAATCTCCGTCGTCATGTAAACCAAACGCCACCCAATGCACCAATTCAAAGCGTGCTTTTAAGAATAAAGTCGCGTAAGGGGTATAACCGCCCAGAACCCAAATGAACAAATACAGAGAACACGGGGTACCAACGCACGATTCATACCTGATCTTTAATTAATAAGTACCATCCTAGAAGTGTCGAAGGATTCCCGCGACTATTGAGAGTCCTCTAGACTCTTCTCAGCGTCCTTGTCAACCTCGACTTCCTTCACTCCATCTAGTTCGGATTCCTTTTCCTTCTCGGGAACTTCCTTCGTAGGAGTCATCGGGCGACTAGGGGCCGGCGTCCCCAAGGCTTGTCCCGGTAAGCTATCAACCATGCTCGCAGAACCAGGCCGAGTACTGCCGCTCATCCGTCTCACGAGAACAGGACTAGGGCGATCTAGGTCCGCTTGAGAAAAGTCCCTGGAACTCCATGAAGCGCGTTGCACCTTCGCCCCGCGGGGTATACTGCTGACCGAACGCCGCGAACTGACACTAGCAGTGCGGCTGGCCCTTCCCACAGGGCCGTGTGACACACGAACCGGGTTTATATCGGCCAGGTAGTCATCATCCTCATCTTCGATCTTAGGAGCTCGTCGAACAGACTTTACAGTGAAGTAGGGCTCTGGTGGTAGCTCTGGGAATTTCTCCGTAGAACCTGATTCCGTTCCTGCTTTCGATTTAGGTTTCGGTAGGGGAGGCTGGTCAGTTGCCCTTTGCTCAATATGTTCAAAGTAGCGAATTCGAATTCCTTCGAGGCTCTGCGAAGTGAAATATTCGCGATTTCGAGATAATGACATCCACGAGGATATGCCACCGATGATTATCAGAATCATGACCGCAATCGTAAGAAGGGCCTGGATCACGATAATGACGACCCCGATCACCGTGACCACGATGCGATTGAGATTAAAATCAGGGAGAAAAGCAATCGAAAGGCCGGTGGTTATCACTCGAGTGAGTGCTAGCAACCAAACCGCTAAAGCGGTATTGCGCTGCCCTTCATAGGGATTGAGAGCCGCGATGATAATAAGAGCGAGTATATCGACGATAAATAGTCCGAAAACTTGGGCGAGGGGATTGCCCGAACCACCCCCCAGAAAACAACCGCGGATGAACTGATAGAGTAACCAAAATGCGAAAAACCACCACCTCGAGAGTCTATAACGCGCAGACAGCCAACCAAATCGTTTCACATACATCTCATCCTGGTGTACGTTTTTCCGATTGGAGTCTTTATCAACGAAATGCCAGCGAACGAAAGGCAGGGAACCAGCTGGCTTCTCTTTCGATTCTTCCTCTTTCAACTGGCTGAGACGGACTGGTACCAAGCAGGGGACATACCCAAAGATCTTACCACGTCGTAGCAAGATCCGGTCGGGATCCATAGAGAATGTGCTGAAACGCAACCGAAAGTGTAGCGCATATAAGACCAAGCCACCCATACCAACCAGTAGGATAACGAAAACAATCGCAGCTATCGCAGTCGGTCCAGCAGAACCGTGGATGGCAAACTGGAACATGGCTAGTGTGGTAATAGAGAAGAACGCGATAAATAACGTCCTTAGAACAGCAAGGCTTAAGTAGCCCGTCCAATGAGATCGGAAATACCCCAAGCGATCTTGTTTGATCCATTTAATTTTCACCAAGCCTTCAAGGGAATATTTGAAAGCTACCAGCAGGGCAACCACAAGCCCAAGCACGACGAGGAGCCAGATTAACCCAACCATGAACGCATTCGGAGCAGGAATGCTTAACTCGGATAGCTCACCTGCGAACCCAGGCGACGTGCCAGGCAATGGCATCCCCGGATGAACCGGATCGCCATTCCAGTTATAATCGTAGGGATCATTCGGATCGTAGGGCTGTCTCTTCGCTAAAGCATTCACAGCACCCTTCAAAATCTCCGGGCCTCTCTTGGATAGTTCGATAGCGACGTACGATATAAGCGAACGGCCATAAATCTGTTGAGTGAGACCTCCTTGGTTGTTGATAACCGTAGTGCCAGCTCCTCCGACCTGACTTGCATTGCCACTGACGCCAACAAAGGGGTTAATCGAATTCACCACCTGAGCGCTAGGTACCAAGCCAGCAGCCCACGCAAAGTTGCTCCACCACGCCGGAAGTACGCTGGGCCAAGGTAGTGATAGCGCGCCGGAATAGAATATGGACTGAAAGGTTTCGAATATGACAAGGACGGACAATGAGTGAGCGTAATGACTCCTCATATGGGGTATGCTGACACCATAAGCTGCCGTCGCAAACGAAGCTATTATGGCCACGAGAGTAAAGACGCCTAGGACGGTACTGATCGATTCGGGTTGCGAAAACGTATTCCCGTTCTTCATCACGGCTTGGAAACACCCGATTTCGGTTTGGCTAGAGTTAGCGAATACCTGTATCCTCGCGAACCCCTCGAGGTCAGGAACTTCGTAGGCGATTTGCGGTATCCCAGAAACCTGTAGCGGGCCGACTGGTAACAAGACAAAGGCCTCGATGGGCTGCTCGGCTTTCATGGGGCACATGCTAGTTGGAACTGTCAGCACTGGGGGGCATGAAGCTTAGTTAGATAAGCGTACCTGTAGATATTCGTATTGCACGGGTTTACAGTCATCGCAAATCTGCTTTCGCCGTAAGCTTCGACGGATATATATACTAGACGAACAGTTAGCCGAGAGTTCCCGCACGAGGGATTAGTTTTCCTACGCATAACAGCTTCATTACGTATATTGGTAGCTCCGTCGAGGTGGAAGAGAACGGTGGAATTATCGTAGTAGAAGGCGGCGTCGAACTTGGTAACATTCAGCAAGCTCTGTCCACCAAGACAATCACCGAAATCGCCCGTATATAAGGCAGGTCGTCTGTCGAGCGCTAAATTTGCTGTGACGCCGTCGAGGCTCATGCCGGTGATATATTGAGTATCCTTGGCCCACGTTATCGGTAGGAGAGCCAGCCCGCCGAGTGTGGGAAGCATCAACGCATCGGATAGGCGATGAGCTAGCATCTTGGTGACGGGAGGCACCTCAGAAGGGCCATCAACGACAGAGCAGGTGTATTAGGCGGATGTTGAGTTGTGCAGATCGTCGCATATACTTTTTCACCTAAAGATTTGGAGAGATGCGAAGATAGTCGGTGAAAATGGACCTTCGAGAATAGGACGAAATGCGAATATCATCGATCGAACATATACCTTCTTCGAGAACCGCGGTGAGAATTGTTGCGTTGAGTGCTATCATAAGAGTGCTGCACTTGAGGTTGCAAGTGACAAGTTATTCGTACCAATAGGTAAGACCGGGGTGTTGTACTTGTGTAAACCGCAGAAACAGTCGCGGGGCCGCGCAAAAGTTGAGGGGGACTATTGGACAAGGTAAAGTGGGAATCTCCAGTTGCCAGAGTGTCACACAAAGCTTTTACGAACGTATGTCGGCCAATGAAGGACAAAATGACGGTGTAGATAGACCTCGGAGAAGGAAGAGGTAGAAGGTGATGTATCGGCTTGGACGGGATCACGGAAGAAGCGGTTGTGATATGGGAGCTGATAACAATATATATATATTACATATTACACTACCTACGCGCGGGTTAGGTAAGTTCCACCACATATAATCCAATTCTTAATTTACCCCCTGTGCCTGCTGTCTAGATCGAATGTGAACGTGTTGACATGGAAAGATCTCACCCTCCCCGTCACTTCCACTTCCGTGCTCCGTCTAGGTATTGGGTTTCTAGTGGAGCAGTTGCTGCCGCCCAAGCCGTGGCGACTAGGACCTGACTGGCCACGACAGGGGAGTCAAAGATCGCCTCCTATTGGTAGACCCGTCCCGTAACGGGAAGTCAGATCCCAATTCATGTTTGCTAAAACAAGTAGTCCCCTGCGGGCCGTCGTGGATGGGCCTGAACTATTTTTCTTTTTATTTCAGTTATCTTGATTTAAGTTATCTTGATTTATCTGGTTATCTTTTACTAGGTACATTAGGTAGTATATTAGTCTGACCCCAAAGAAGAGTCTAGGCACGTCCAAACCCGACGAATCACCTCCATGTCAGACAGCTGAAGTTGCTTCCGGGGGCCATCATTCGCTCCGCGTCGGGAGCTCTTAAGACATACATATGCGCATATGGCTGCAAGGCCCCAAAAACTTTATTAAGCCCAAAGGATCGATTTTTGATAAGATGAACGCTCAAGGTAAACCCGGAACATTTCATCCACCCACCTACTTCTACTATATTTATCGCCACCGCCACGACGTATATGATTATACCTATCTAAACCGTAGTGTACATACACCCTTGAGTCTTTAGATCGAACGATTATCTTACAAGGAGCCTAGGTAACACCTAATGATTGTATCTGCAACTCTATTGATTGTTCAACCATCCACTAGTTATATTTGGACTAAACGTAAAATGTCAAACCTACCTAGGTATATACAATACTCATCCGGTAAGGAGAGTGGTGGGAAAATTGACTGTTTGCTTTGCCTTGCTTTACTTCGTCATTGTGAACTCGTCCTGTACTACCACATAACTCCAGTTCGTATAATAATTCCGTCGTAAAAGACTTTAGCAACAGGTAGGTAGACAATTATTATCACCTACGGTAAACGACTCAATAGCAAAGTATAAAAGAATGATCAACGCCAAAAAGTGGCAGCTATAATTTATATATATGCAAGCGCCTAGAAGCTTAAATTTGAGGGATTAATTGATGTACAACTGACGTTGGAAAACACGAAAGATATATTTGAACCCTACCACTACAGGGGCAGTAGAGTCGCCATGGAATCCAGCTATTAGGTCAAAATGCACTTCAATGATGGTATCAGCTCAATAAATCCTCGCTCCATGTTGAATCATGTATTGGCTATATCTTTCTCAACTCTTCACTGCGAGTGCAGGGTGAAGAGAGGAAACCTCCTTTCCGAAGTGAAAGACAGCATGAACGCCGAATAGATGCAAATAAAAATGTATAGCTGCGTGACAAATTTTGAGGGCGCGAGCACGGGGCCACGATTAGATTAAACCCCATGAACCCAGCACATGGAAGCCATTTCTCTCTAGCCGCCCGATCCCAGCCCGCCGAATTGACTAAGCGAACATATCATCAGCTCGTTGGTATACTGCAATGCGAATGTGAGAAGGCTAGAAGAACATTGGTTTCGGATGGTATCAGTAATTCTTTTTTTCATGTCGTAATAGTCGTGAAGTAGAGCAAATCCAATATTCAATACGCCCAAAGGCAAAAAAATAAAAATCATAATTGACCGATTACGCATAGTTTTCCTCGTCGTCCTCCTCAATGGGGGCAGGAGTCCTCCTTTCGTTTCTGCGCTTAGGACGCCTGTGTCTCGAACTTGAGATGTTACTCGCCGAATCCTCAGGAGCCAAGTCGAAATCATCGCCTCCCCAATCGCTCTCGCTCATACCGTCATCATCTCCTACAGCCCATGGTGGTCTCTCAGAGCCTTGTGAATTGCCGGACAGTTGTGGCAAGACATCGATCCTTCCGGCACGGCGGTGCTGCTGGCTTAGCAATAGGCCATTATTGCGCTGGCGGAGAGCGTTCCGCACTACTTCGGCACGTTCGTGAAGCTTCTCAAATGCGTCTTCAAGGGCTTCCATACCCTGGTAAATATCCCTTTCTACCTCAGCTAGGACAGCCATTTCAACCTCTTCATCATAGGATACAGGCTGGCGGCTATGGCCAGGCGCAGCAGACGACGACAGCGAGACAAAAGAAGCGGGCGTGGCGCCACGGGAATATACGCCAGAGAAGGGCGTAGTGCTACGAGACCCGCCGAATCCTGACGCGTGGCGCATACTGGTCCCTCGTGGTGGGGGGGATGAAAACCCATTCGCGGGTGTACCACCTCGAGACTGTGGATTATCGGCAGTAGGCGTTATCGCGTCATCAGCATCAGCACCAGACCAGAGAAAGCCGTCAAAGCGGCCCGATATGAGAATTTCCCACTCTTGGGGGCTAATGTCGGTGATAGTTGCAAGAAGATCATGGTGAAAAGGGTGTTTGACGAGAAACACGGCTGTTTCTGCATCGCGAGGTGCTTGATGTAGACGGTAGATGCGTTGAAGTGCTAGACCCGTCTTGACCATGAAATCTGTCCTTGGCTTACGCATTGGTGTAGGTGCTCTCAGAGAAGGCTGTAGTTCTCGGGCACCAGAAATTAACGCATTGAAGTACGGTTGCTCATGCTGGTCGAGATTGGTCAAGATGGCAAAGGTCAGCGTCTCGTCGTCGATCTCAGATGGCGCTGGTGCAGGCGCCTCAGCGCAGTTGCTCATCCATCGATCGACTACAGATCTGACCTTCTTGGACTGTCGTAGATAGTGATCCCTAAACTCTTCTGCGATATCCGGGTCTAACTTGATCGGGGAAGCCGGCCTAGGAGGCATATCTTGTGCAGTCTCAATCGCATTTGCAGAAAGAGAGGGAAGATCAAATGGGGGCCACGCTGGCATTTCAACCCTGCCTCCTACCCGTTCTAGTACCTCGCCCCATCCTAACCCTCGGTGCTCTTCTGGTGTCTTTTCACACATGATACAACTGCAGCCCTCGGCAGGAAGATCTCGAGAGAACACATCTTCCAATCGGTCGAGTAGCCGCCGTGCAACAGACTTGTGTCCTGTTGCTACTGCAACCGAGCCCTGCTTTTGAATGACCGACTGATATTGATCAAGGAGATTAAAGAAAGGTGCGAATAAAGTGTCCGCGCCTGCTAGAGGAGGGTTTGAGGGTCGTGATCCATTCTGACGTGGTATCACAGAAAGGAAATTCCTTGGCAGCGGATGAGGTAGGCCGCCGTTCTGAAGTAGGTAATCAATCCTGGGGACTTCCTGAATATTCAATGGGGGAGGCGGAGGCGGTGGTGGAGGACCGAAATCAGATGCTGGGGTTGCTGAAGGCGTAGGACGTTCTTGTCTTTCACGCCTAGAGTTAAAGCTAGGCTTCACATCCGGGAAGGCTTGCGGCGGTGGAAATTGTGGCGTAGCTGTAGGTGTTCTCGGTGATGAGTCCTGTATAGAGTCTGGGGAATCTTCGGCTTCGATTGGGCTAGGATTCCTACGGGATCTTGTCGAGGCTGTCCGTTTGGGAGCAACAGGAGTAGCGGTTGAGGAAGTCCCTACGGTTTTATTATCGCTCAGCTGGGATGCCTCGCCATTAACTCGTACGCCGAATGGCGGAGGCGGTGGAGGGGGAGGGGGGGGAGGTGGCGGATAGGATGGAGTTGGAGGAGATTTGATAGTGGAAGCGTAGCTTGAAGCTTTAGATTTAGTAGACAGCTTCGATTTCTCATCGTGCTTCGAGTTAGATCGTGATATGCCGGAGGTCCTTGATTGAGGTCGGTCCGAACCAGATTCCATCTCCTCTCTCAACTTCGAGGTAGGTGTTTTGCTTCGTCTTTTCTTTTCTTCGGACAAATCTGTCTCGGGAGGGCTAGGCGGCCGACTATCCTTCTGGGTATTCTTCCTACTCAAACCACCTGTCGATTTAGATCTGCCTATGTTACCGGAACCAAGATCTGTGGTATCTGGAGTGAAGGGATCATTGTGGGCGGACGCCCCTACGTCTTCGCGGCTGAGGACAGCTTCCTTGCTGTGGGCCTTGCTAAAGGTAGGGTATGGCAAGCTAACCCGGCTGCCAGAAAGAGTTGTCCTCGAAAGTTCGGGCACTAGGTCACTCATTGAAGATGTCCTTCTGTCACGGTCCCTCTCTTTCTCTTCCTTGGTTCGGTGTCGTCGATGCGAGGAGGTGTGCGAATCCCCATCAGTACTGGTTTTATGCTTAGAACGGTGTGATTTATGGTGGTGATAGTGACTATCCCTGTCACTCCTAACGCGTTCCTTATCCTTTTCCCTATCACGCTCCCGTTCACTCTTTCTACGCCGAGGATCTCTTGAGCGGGTATCGCTGGTTGCGTCGGCATCAGGGTCTCTGGAGCCCATTGTGGTGGACCATACGAGCCCGACCGGGCCCAACCGCTAATTCGATTTGACGAGGGAGGGTCGTCGAACTTATTCGAAGGATGCAGAGGGTCCTCGATTGGAGAGGGTTCAGGGCAAGGACGAATGAATTCAATGCTTCGGTGGTCTTAATTAGGAATCTAGGGATTTATGCAATGCGTTCGTTGGCAAAAAAAAAAATTGGAAAAAAATTACATGTAGATGGCAAGAAAAAGTGGTGAAAGCAGCACAAGGCACATTGCATGTTCCAATGTTCCAATGTTCCAACGTTCCCAAAAGATGTGCAAGGGAAGGTGACGGCGGCTATTGGAGTCTTTCTACACGCTACGCAGCTGCCTGTGATTCGACGAGTAGCATGCATATATCAGGAAATGGGGCTCTACCACGTACGAATCGGGCATGGACGTACCCGTACCTAGGTATCCCTTAAGGTGGGGTCGCTATATCCCACAGACCTCGACTTTCTAATAATTTGTTTTGTTTAATGCATATCTATATATAGAGAGATCTGGCATAACATTAACAGGTAACATCCTGATCGGAGATCGTCATAGCAAAATCTATTTATTTGTTTGCTTTAAGTAGTGCTCAAGGATTTCTCCAAACTCGAGTGGAGTTAACCCGAGTGCCGTTTACACCCTCATCGGTAGTGTACGGTTCTATGTATATATATGTATATGTTTTAGATCTCATAAATATTCGTAATATATGACCTGGTACGTTAATCGTAAGTCTATCCGGGTCTTCCTTTATTCCCTCATAAATGTCCTTTTAAGAGCCTAGAAAAATCCATATAAACTTATCTCATTTATAGGCGATCTAGTAAACCACGACTCTCTAGCATCAGGACGATCTGGTGCACGATGGATCGCACTGTCTGCTTCTCGGCATCTACTACTAAATCGGCCTTAGAGGGAGCCTCATATGGGTCATCAACACCCGTGAAACCCTTAATCTCACCAGCACGAGCCTTAGCATAGATGCCTCGCTTGTCCGTCTTCTCGCAGTACTCAAGAGGAGTAGCGACGTGGACAAGGTAAAAGTCACCGTATTTCTCAACGGCTTCCTTCGCAGCTGCTCGGTCCTTGTCAAAGGGCGCAATAGGGGCAGCGATGACAGCAGCACCAGACCTAGTCAACTCGCCAGCGACGAACGCGATACGAGCAATGTTGGTGCTGCGGTCTTCTCTACTGAAACCCAGTTCAGACGACAGCTCGTGGCGCACAGTCTCACCAAGCAGCATAGACACTGATCGACCGCCCTGCTGGTTTAGGGTGACCTGAAGAGCTCTCGCGATCTGGTCCTTGCCGCTGTTTGTGTAACCGGTTAAGAAGACAGTAAACCCCTGAGCAGCACGTGGAGGATGCGACTCGCGCAGTACTTTAACGACCTCAGGATATGAGAACCACTCGGGGATATCTCGGCCGCTCCTCAGTCGTGAGCGCAGTTCTGTACCGGAGATGTTCAATGTGCGGGTATCCTTTGGGATTTCGTCGATAGGCGCGTACTCGTCCTTGTCGGGTAAGTATGTCATCATTTGGAAGGGTACAACCTCAATGCCAAGTTCGTCGCGGTATTTCTCAACCGCGTACTGGGCATCGTAAGGTCCATAGAAATCAACGCCTTGGCTGTTCTTTCCGGGACCGGCGTGGTCACGACCAACGATGAAGTGAGTTGCTCCGTGATTCTTGCGGATAATGGCGTGCCAGATAGCTTCGCGGGGGCCACCCATTCGCATAGCCAACGGGAGGAGACCTAAGACCGCCATGCCATTAGGGTATCTTGGCAAGAGAGCCTTGTAGACTCGCACTCGTGTGAAGTGGTCAATATCTCCGGGTTTTGTCAAGCCAACCACCGGGTGAATGAGCACATTTGCGTGATGCGAACGAGCAGCACGAACTGTCAGCTCTCGGTGAGCACGGTGCATAGGGTTCCTTGTCTGGAAAGCAACAACACGGCTCCAACCAAGCTTGTCAAAGTGTAATCGGAGCTCAGCCGGAGTGTCTATCGCGAGGATCGGGATTAGCTTCAATGACGTAATAGTTTTGAGATTACTGCGGTTAGACTCACATCGGAGGTCTACAAAGTCGTAGTGCTGTAGACGGTTGACAGCTTCTACCTTACCACCGACGTAGAAATCGGCAGCAGTTCTGAAGAGATATTTAACAGCGGGATGCGCTTCATCATCGCTTCCGAAAACTTCTTTAGCTTCGAGGACCCTATTGTGCTCACGTGTCAGTAGTGTCGATTGCGCAAGACTCGGCGAGTGAGAGGCTTCCCGTACTTGTCTGGCTTGTAGATATCGTCCACGGTGAGAATGGCCAAACTCCTGTCGTCGCGAAGATCGCGTAGCGTCACTCGGACACCTGGTTTTAGACCAACTTCCTTGATAGTTTCGCCAGACAGGTCCAGAGTGATGGGCATGCTGAACAGAATGCCGTCGGCTAGCCTATTCTCCTTTACGACACTGTGCAAGACAGTCAGCGCTCGGTCTTGTTACTCATGTAGCCCAGTTGTTACATACCCATTATAGTCGGCCTCGTTCATGAAACCTAGACGTGAATTTGTGTAAGCTTGGCTTCATTCCGAGAGCACAGATTCTCGTATAATAATCGTAACTCCGCCCAATAGCACGCGTGGATATAGAAAATAGGGGAGAACCATGTAGCACCAGACAAAATGAGAGGCGCGGATGTCAAAGATCAGACATGGTAATAGGTAAACACACCTTCTAGAGGTGAGAAGCCGCCATTGAGGATCAATTCAAGGTCACAGAGCTGTCTCTCGGTCAGGGTAATGGCAGGGAGAGTTTCAGCTTCGGCCTCGAGCTGAGCTTGTCTAGGAAAGTCTCTGGCAATAAGGTCCTTGAGGATGCCGCCATGGGGAGGGTTCGCCATTGTCTCGGAATACAACTAAGGCAAAGATAGATTATAGTAACTAGGGAAAAGGTAAGATAAGGAGAAGAGAGCTAGAGACTCTTGACTCTAGTTCTTGATAAAAGACCAGGAGCAACAGATATTAAGGGAGGATAGATAATCAACACCTGTATGGAACATATAACTATGTTGAAACGTGCTACGATAGAAGATAATACGGAGAGTCTAGAGCCGACATAGCCACTTGCTAGGTTGTAGATAAAAAGGGAGAAAAAAACTAAAACTAAAACTAGAGCTAGTTCCGATGCCGTTCACGCTACGTAATTAGTCGCAGAGAGATGCATGTCTCTGCAGGGCAGAACTTAAGCTGCGACCCTATGAGATGGAGACTAAGACCTGGGCAAAAAAAATGAATCGAATAGCATTTAGCCTTGATGACGTGCTCAGGGACTAGCGAGAGCCGTCGCCTATAATGCAGCGCCAGCGGTTCTCGTTTGTCACTGGACTGACGCGGCTTTTTTGAACGAATTGGGAAGTCAAGCGGACCGAAAACATGCCCGATAACACGGCTCTCGGGACCCAGTAACCCTGATGATGCCTTAATTTGTGTATTGTGTAAATGAGAGCAAATATTTTATCTGATGTCGATCGCGGAGCACATATACCAATGGAATCTTGGGGTAAACATATTGAATACATACCTATTTTCGGTTAGGTACCTCATAATGAAGAAGAGATGGCGGCCTTCTGCGGCTCTTGGCTTTCTTCAGCTGCGGTGGTACTTCGGTACCGTCTAGGTTACCCCTCTCTCCACGAAGGCCCCCGGCCTTATGCAATTGCAGACGGATTGCAGAGGCTCAAAGATAATGTTCCGATATACATCTTTGGTAACCGGTGGATGGTGGAATTAGGCTCTGCCAAATTGGTATTCAGGAAGCAATATGCCATGATAAAATTACCTACACCCTAATTTTGTTCATTACCCTTTCCCACTATCCTCCTTCTTGCAAGTATTCATCGTGTTTTACAAGCAAACAGTAGTTATGTGTTCTCATCTGTGATACAAACTTGCAACATCAAGCAAACTGCCAGGATATGTCCCTCAGATATTTTGGACATTGCAACACAAAAGAAACGGAAAGGTACAATGACGCAAACATGGTTGAACACCTTACGCCTTCATCTCATCCTCAAATTTATTATTCTTATCCTTCTTGGCGTTACCTTTTGAAAGTAGATCATGAACATATTGGCGCCATCCAGATGCCGCATCGCTATGTGTTGTATCTCGTGCCGCCACTCGTGCCGCCACTCCTATAGTTGCAGGGCCGGCCGGAGGAGTGTGCCAGTGGTCCCTATCCGGCGTAGGAAGGGGTATTATCGTTATAGAGGATGAAGTCTCTACTGGCGTAACATTTCCCGAGGTCGACCCTACGATTATAACGCTGCTATTGGAAACCTGGCCCGATATGGATGCTATCGTTGATGTCTGAAAGGTGGTCGGATGACCACTGCTACCGAACAACGTTGCATTTGCTATCATTTCAATCAGTTATCGCTATTCAAAATTCATTTACGGTTTGTATCCACTCACATGATGAACTATCAGTACACGACGTGGTCGAAGACGGCCAGGGAGCGGGAGTTCCCGTCGCGCCCTCAGCACCTGATGCGAATGAGGTAGCCGATGAAGTTAAGGTTTCCATAGGTCCCGGCTGAGTAAACCCATCATCGGTGCAAGTTGTATCAATGGTGGCAGGAGGGATCTCGCTTTCTGTACAGGTTGTGTCAGGCTCTTGAGTTGTTGGAAGTTCTTCAGTACAAGTATCCGAAGATGATGTCGTAGTAAAAGAGCCTGATGGCGAAGATGAGGTTATTTGAGGAGGAATGCCCTGTCCGCCTGGGCTACTCGATGTAGTTGTTCCTGTGGTAGACGCTCCCGGCGGTAAAGAAGCCGAAGTGGTCGAGTTCAAGAACACAAACGAGGTAGAACTGTTCCTGGCGGGTGATTGGCTTACGGCCCCTGATGGTGCCGTAAGAGACGCAGTAATCTCTGATTCTGTAGATGGGACGGCCGAGATGCCACTTGAAATTGGTAGTAGACTTGTAGTAGGTCCAAGTGATAAACTACTATTTGACAGACCATGGGATACAGAGAGCGGCGTAGATTGAGCTGTCGGGTTAGGAGTAGTAGCGCTCGAAGGGGTAGTTACCTGGGATATCGATTGGGTGCTGGTCCCTACCGACTGTCCAGTAGGGCTACTTGCCGAGAATCCATGGGAGGTCGACGTATTCGAGAATGGGAAGGGAATAGAACTTGAGACTCCAGTGAAGGAACCAGTCACACTGGCGGTGAGGACTGAGGAAGTACTTCCAAAGACACTCTCACTTCCAGTGATGGTTTGATTAGAGATGGCACTAGATGAGGCAGTTGGACCTAATGATATCGTTGAATTTGAAACTGAAGATGGAAGTAACGTCTCTGATGTCCCAGAGGACGAGCTAAAAGCGCTGTTACTTTCGATGGAGCTCGGCATGGGAAAGGACTCGGTCCCTGAATTTACAGTCCCGCCCGATGGAGCAGTCGGGTTAGGGAGCGCCGTGATATTCGTCAAAGGAAAAGGTGGCATGGACGGCGATACCTCAGATGTGAGCGTAGGCACCCCTGTACCCGAAGCCGAGCCGTGAGTAGTTGAAAATACGCTTCCAGAGTGAACTGTGTTAGAGAAGGACTCCGCACCAGTCGTGGCAGCCGAGCTCGAACTTAGACTGACCGACTGGCCTGATGGCCCGTTGGACGATGCAGTTGGCCCTAAGCTCTCGGTAGAGTTTGAGAGGGGGAACGGTGGTGTCAACCCTGAAGCCGTAGGGGTGGATAAGCTAGCTAAACCTGTACCCGACCTAGTGATGAAGGGTGTGATAGTCAATGAACGAGTGTCGTTAGATGAGCTAACAGGACTCGTAGGAGAGCTGCTTGATAGGCTTTGAAATCCCGTTGAGATGAAACCCGATGGCCCTGTAGGTTTGCTTGTAATACTTGTCGAATTTGGCATGGGGAAAGGAGCAGGTGAGCTAGGAATCTGTGCCGAAGCGCTATTTGAGCCCCCTGAGGGTGTGATGCCCGTCGAACTACTTGCTCCGCCGGTATGACTTCCGGAAAGTACGGTCGAGTTCGCCGCGGGGCCTGTTAGTGTGGGCGTTGAACTTAAAGAGATTGGACCAGGACCGGTAGGTACTCGACTGCCCGTAGATCCTAATGTAGGTATTGTAGCATTTGATAGCGGGAAAGGCGCCGATGAGCTGCTAGTTCCTATAGACTGTCCAATTGGACTGCTAGACGGAGACCCAGTCGAGATGGGGGTTGAAATCGACGACAGGTTAACAGAGCCAGTAGGTGGGATGAATGTACCTGGATTTGAGGCACCTGTAGGACCCGTAGTTGGCAATGTCGAGTTAGTTAAGGGGAAAGGCATTGTTTGAGAACCACTTGGCGAAAGGTGACCAGATGATGAGGTCCGTACCGTCTGATTACCGCTTATAAATGCAGACGACGTCTGCGAGGATATCCCCGTGCTTAGAAGAGAGCTAATGGTCCCGGTTGTATGTCCAGTCACTGATATCGTTGAATTGGGCCATGGTGGAGATTGAGAGGCGGCAGAACCAGAATTGCTGAACCCACCACTTATCTCCCCAGAAGCAGTCCCTGTTGGTGAACCCGTTCCAGTTTGAGGAACCGTCTGACCATTCGGACCGTTTGTTAAGTTGGATGAAGGGAATGGGGGCCTAGAGGAGATCGCAGTAGTGGACTGAATACCTGAAATGGATATACTAGACGTCATGCTAGAGAAAGCAGTGCCAGTCGGGCCCAAAGGAGAGGCTGTCGAGTTTGTAATAGGAAACGGAGGAAATGTTGAAGAGGATCCGAAACTTGCCACCTCGCTAGAGATACTTGACTCAAGCATGGACGATCTAGTAGACACAACTGTGGGTAGTGAACTAGGTTGTAGGGTACCTGAAAATGAGAGGGATCCTCCAGTTGGTCCGCCTACAGTAATTGACGAGTTCGTCAATGGAAACGGAGCTGACTTCGTCGCTGCGGAGGTGATAATAGATAAAGTGTTAGATATAGGAATGCTTGGAATTGTCATAGTACCGGTTCCGAGAGTTTGATTAGCAGGACTTGATGTACTAGCCGTTATATTTGATTGAACAGGCGGGGTTGTGGACATCCCCTGGCCTCCAGGGCCAGTTCCCTGAGAGGATTCACTCGATGATAGAGCAGTTGAGCCACCGGTAGGCATTAGTGGTGATGACGAGTTCAGTGCAGGAGAAGACGAGGCTAAGCTGGTGATAGCACCAGTCCCTGTAGGACGTCCTGTCCCTGGAGAAGAGACTATAGTACCCGTAGTCGAGTTACTCAGGGGAAACGGTGCAGAGGAGGTATTTGGCACTATAACCGAACTCGTTTCCAAGCCCACCGACTGCGTTTGGGTTCCCAAGGAAACAGATTGGGGTGGTGCTGTAATTGCCCCGCCCGTTCCTGTGGGTGTAATTGTTTGGCCAAGTGACCCAGTGACAATACTGATACTGCTATTGGAAAGTGGGAATGGTGCTATTGTTGTGGAAGATGTCTCACTCTCGGTAAGAGTGCCAGATGCAACAATACTACTAATCTCCATACTAGATACCGATGATGTGGATATTGATGATGTAGAACCAGTTGTTGGGAACAGCGTGGTAACAAAACTTGAGCTAGCAATAGAGAATCCGGAGCTTCCTGCTGTAGGTCCTTTGCTATTCGTCACGTTTGAGACAGGAAATGGGGGCATCGTCGAAGAACTCGAGATTCCAGAGCCTGCCGACGGAGAGACAGTTCCAGATGATAAAGTTTCTGTGCCTATGGTACCACTGGGACCACCTTGACCTGATGGTCTAGTTTGGGACAAAGTCCCATTGGAGAGAGAGCTAATAGTGCCAACCGTAGAGCTTGCTTGTGTAACGCTGCTTCCCGTTACTAAAGATCCTGAAGATATAGTAATTGACTGCGAACCACTTCTAGACGCGGTGGGCTCTGTAGGGTTGGCATTGAATGTCGAGTTCGAGGTAGGAAAAGGGGCAGAAGTCCCGCCGATTGAAGGAGATGAAATACCCGATGAAGCAGCTGGGGACGTACTTGCCGTTTCCGATGTACCTGAAGAGACAGTTTCCGATCCGGAAAGGACTACGCTTTGCGTTGGCTCTGAACCGGAGGTTGGCAGACCTGTGGATCCGGGCGACTCTGCACCCGATGAGAGTCCATTTGACGGTTGTGTCAGAGTACTTGGAACACTTCCAGTT